CTGTGCTGACCCGCCCCACCTGAGCAACCCGGTCCCGCGTTGTCCAACGCGGGGAGCTCACCTGCGTCCTCCTCGAGCACACTTGGGAGGGGGTGCCAGCCTTGCAGCGGAACGCCGGAGACAAGCTGAAGTTTGCGCTCTTGAATCGCCAGCCGAGTGGTGTCGTGAGTCTTCAGGTCGGTAACGGACGGGTTGGCTCAAAGGAGTCTCGAACGCTGTGACTCATGCTTGCGCCGAATGGACTCGAGTTTGGCTGTGTGGGCGTCCTTGGCTGATTTCGAAGCCTGAGCGGGCAAATGCTGCTCCTGCTAGCCGAGGTCTGTCGCCAACGCCTCGTCGATAGCCAAAAGCTGATCTTCTACCCGTTGCAATATGTCCAGTTCATCTGATGAAAGCGGTGGGAAGGAGACCAGCTCTCGGTCGCAGTCAGCGGTCGTGCGCAGATGGTCAAAGGGCGACATGGCTACAGCAACCAACACCAGACGAACTGACGAAATGAGTTGAAGATTAATAAGACAAGAAAGGTCGCCCAACGTAAAGAAAGGTCGCCAGATCCACACCAGGCAATAACAGCGGGCAGGCAGGCTGGGCGTCTCTTCTCCCCAACCATATGTCCACGTCCCCGGTGCCTTGTTCTTGTTAGTCGTACTGTAACGAACGCGTTTGGGTTTCTCGTCCCGGTATCTTGGTCTGGCTAGCTGCTCAGCCCGGATTCAAAGACAGTTATTATCTAATTGTACCTCGTATACTGGTGGTGTTCCAAGATTTTTTGAGATATCTTCATTGTAGATAGCGTGCCAGCTATTTCTGGAGGGGGCAGACCTGCTCAATCCCAGTAGGTCCTAGACTGTTGCTGACCGTGTTGGCTAGGTTTTTCCTCTAGATAAACCCGATGGTGTCGCAAATGCAGAGACAGGACAGAACAAAATAGTACAGCATATGCTGGCATATGACTGAGGCCGAGGATGGAAGAAGACCATATGGGAATGTTTGGGGCATCATCTGATGATGAAAAGAAAGCGGCAATTGTTCTGTGCATGTACAAGTGCATGTTTTTTACCCTAGGTCACCTTGCGAACTCGCCACCCTAGCCCCGATACCGAGCTCACAAACTCTTAATCAACGAAACAATGGATAATCAGACGCAATCCCATGGGATGTGGCCTCAATTTAGGGCATGTGTGGTGGCCTCAATTTAGGGCATGTGTGGTGTAAATAGCAAATTTGGAAATCACGAAACTGTCCGCTGCCCCGCGCCACCAATAGCAGCAGCAACGTCAACGGTAGCAAAATCCTCAGCAACTCATCAACCCGTAATTTCGATCACTATTTTAGGAATGCTTCCAGGACAAGACACACACACACACACATAGATGCAACGCTGGCGGGGTTGCAACCCACGGAAAGGAGCAAACAGTAGCTTGACTGACCCATGGTTCAGTCCACACCCACGCGACGACGCGACGGCGCGTTCCAACAGTCACCTCTTAACGACCCTGTTCCTTCCTTCCCTGAAGAGACTCTGCTCCACCGCCGCCGCCACGGACATTTGGAGCTTGCCCGTAAAACCCTACTGCTGATATTCTCAATACCCCCTCTCTAACACAGTGGTTCGTCTTACCCCCTCACACATACACACGCACACACGCGCATGCGCCTCCCAAAATCTTTCCTCCTATCCGTGGCCCTGTAAAGCCCCAAAGACTCGGGTATGATCTTACTCGCCACACGGGGGTCGAAATTCGCAGCACGCAAAAGCCAGGTACCAGCCATCAACCTGGCAACTAGGGACAATTGTGCGCACGCGATAATAAACACACCCGCAAAAACGATGCCTCCTTCAAGACATCGCAATCCTAAAAATTGAACCAGACCTAAGCTGTGGCCATTCTGCCGTTCTGGCCGCACAGGAAAGGATCCAGATCGAGATCCAAGCTGATCGAAAGACAACAGACACCGGTGAAGCTATACACAGGCACCTGGTGAAGCTATACCACCCTGTAACAGCAACAACAACAACAGACAGCAAGGCGCGCAGCCCCCAAACGAGCCTCCTCTCTCCTAAAAATGACCATAAAAGCCAGTTCGCGCGATCCGGCAAGAGACACCAATGCCGCAGACGCCTGTGCTCTAGAAGAAGCCGCACTCGCCAAGCAAGGACCACTTTCATGCCATTTCACGTCTTCACCCTGCTGCTCACGAGAGCGCGTGGTGCCTTCTCTCCCCCTCCCCCGGGGCCGCAATCCGGGGGTATGTTTCATGTGAGCCGCATGGCAAACCTATTTGGGTGTCTCCCCAGCACGCAGGCCAACATGTAGATCGGGGGTGCTCATGGTGTGTGTAGGTCCCGAACCATCCCGAACAATCTCGAACTCCCAGCTGCTGCCTAAACCCCGTTCTCCTGATGGGGATTCTACATCCAAGCGGTTAATTAATTAGGTGCTCGGTGAGTGACTCCCCCTGTCGCTTCCACACTGCGAAATGATGGACGTTCATCCCATAGCATGACCACATCCCATAGCGTTACCAGATTCCATAGCACAACCACACTGCGGAAGGAAATGACAATGGTTGAAGCATCTGCACACACACAAACACGCGCACGTAAACATGTACACACGCACGTATAAACACAACCGAGTGCTCACACATGCCCGCACGCACTCGCTCGCAGGAGTTTTGCCTGGCGCTCGCAGAGGGGACGTTTTCGCGTGTGCGCGCTTGTACACATTATTGTAAGCAGCAACAATCCTGGCGCGGGGAGAAGAGAATCTCCGTAAAAAAAGGCTTCCTGAGAAAACAACATCACAGCAGAAGTACAGCGCAGCGTCTACGACGACGGTGATGATGATGATGATAATGATCACGCATTTCTGGCCATTGCCTGGAGCTGCAGGCAGACTGTCCGTGTGGATGAAGGGTGCGATAACGAAAGGCCCGACAACGAAGGGACACAGATTCGCACATCCAGAGTACCTACGCAGCAAATATGTGCCTGTACACTGTTTACACACACGTCCCGGCACTGTGCGCAAGTTGACAGACACGCGCGGCGACACACGGCCCTTCATACACACGGCCCCACAGAACCTGATCATGATGAGGTATCTGCCTCATGATGTCTCATCAGCATGGTGTTCCGTTCCGTTCGGCAACATGGAGTGTGAGAGCACGTAGACGCCGTTTAAAGGCGCCGGATAACTGTCTGTGGCAGGGACTGCGTCATTACCAGATCGGGTCACAAGGAACCAGGTTTGTCAACCTCTGCAACCTTCTAATCCAAGCCAAGCAAAGTTGTAACCGTCCTCTCGATAAAACAAGGTTTCTTCTGGACCAGACCAAGACCAAGCAAAGGGCAGGGGCAGAGTACGAAACTGATCGAGTACGATAGATCCCATTGAGGTCAGTCGGCGTGTGTCTCTATGTGGAAGCCAGGACCGAGTTCACACACTCACCACTCACGCTAGCTTTCTATCTACGCGCTTCATCAGAATAGCTCCCGGGCCCCCCCCATATACCTCTCCCCCAGCTGTCTCGTCTTCCTCAACATCAACGCTTTGCGGCAACGTACGCGGCAACAACCCTAAGTAGCAGTAAGCGGCAATGTACCACTAACAGATAGCCACTAGCCTTTCCTTCTGGTCTTCAACTCTGGTCTTCAACAGCTCGCGACCCTTGTCCCTAGAACAAAGTGTCCACATTGTCCTGCACACGCTTTACTTGCACGCACAAACAGCAACTGGAGGCCAGAAGACGCCGACAACCGCTCTCCGCAATTCTGCGGATCAGGTCCCCAACGCTCAAGTCGTACTCTGCGCACTCGCTTGTGTGCAAAAGCCCGTTGCCCCCGGGCTGTGCGCAACGACGTTGTTAGCGGAGCCGTGGGCTCTTCCTCCCCCGTCTTGCGCGTCCCTTTCCTGCCCCCTCTCCCATTGCTCCTCTCTTAACACCTCTCCCAACCCCCTTTGGTCACTCGCGTTCGGGTCCGGTTCTAGAGCCGCCCAGCCCTCCTTCCTTTTTGACCACCCTCATTCCCACATGCGGTGCGCACGTCAGCTTGACCGGTTTGGAAGGCCGACATGGACGGAAAAGAGAACGGGAAAAAGACAGGAGGGAAGAATGTTCGGGAACACGACGGTGGTGCGCTTCGCTGGCCTGGCTGTGCAAAATCCCCCTGCCGAATTGCTCGTCACCTCCTGCACCGCAACCCTACCGTACCGTACGACGTCCAACGCGAACCTTCCTAAACGGACAAGATGCTCCGAAACTCCTAACCTGCCAGTCTGCTTGACGATGTTATTCCCCCGATCTGTCATCGTCACGTCACCACACGGGACTATCAGTAGTGCAGCACGGGGACGATCACCACCATACACTTCGTGCACGCCGCATACACACACATACACGCATTACCCCATCCGCCCACGCACTCATAGCCCTAGCCAAACCTGCTCACAGCCGCCTTTCGCATTCATGCACAGCACACCGGGCGCAAGCGGCCTCCGCAAAAACCCCTTCCCACACCTGGCTTCATGCTTGACTGGTACTCTTTCAGGCGGCGACTTTTTCACCTGCAAAGGCTCCCAGACCGACATTCGCAGATCAACGCGCGGCTGGGAAGCGCAGGGGCTGCTGCTGCTGAGCAGGGAGTCTTCATGGCCAAGGCGCCGACTGCGACCGTGGGCGGCAGCGGCAATGCACTGAGCGCCGCCGGTGCCGTGCCGTTGCGCGTCCCGAGAACCCCACGCAACAGCCGCGCCTTTCCCGCCGCTCCTGTCCAAACACGTCTGTCTGTCTGTCTGCCAGCCGGCGGCAGCAGCACAGCGGCTACAGGCGGCGGCAGCACTAGCAGCAGCAGCAGCAGGCCCCTGCTCACAAATGAGCCACTCGCCTGATCAGGCTCTGCAGGGCAGCGAGGGAGTCGCTGTCGCCGTCACCTTCGCCGTCAGCGCGCACGGCTCCCCTACCGTCTTGATGCTGGGAGTTTGGCTCTGCCACGGAGCGGGACGATACCGCCACGGAGGAGGCGGAAGGCGCGGACGGGGAGATGTAGGACCGGCTCGCGGAGTGGCAGCCAGGGTGGCTGCTTCTGGAGGTGCCTGCAATTGTGACGGGGAAGGCAGCGGGGCAGCACCACAGCGGCAGCGGCGGCAGGCGGCATCAGGAACTCGCACAAGAAAGGTGGACCGCCGGAGCAAAGCCGGGGAAGGGAGGTAGTGCAAGATAAGGCGCAACATCGCCATGTGCGGCAAGCACACCCTTATCCACGTCTGCCAATTTCCCGCTCTATTTGTGCACCACACCGCTCCCTGTTTAGCAGGTTCCACAGGTGCAGCCCCTCCAACGAGGTATACCAAGGTACAACAATACATACAGGAGCACAGGAGCCATCACGGCACGCGTGTACCTGCGCCTGACGCTCCAACGGGAGCTCCTAGAGCACCCGACGGAGACAGAGAAGACAGCACCCGCTGCAAACCCGCGGCTGCGACGGGGACGGGGACGGCGGCGACATCGCCACAAGCGGTGGCGGGGGCGGCAACCGCTGGCAAGTGGTCAGCCAGAGACCACACGGTATAGCGTGGCTGTTGCGTGGATGCCACCGCAAGCTCATGAGCCGCGCTGGTTAAGGAAGCAGGCACGGCTCGCCGAGGCGACTTCCTGTCACCCACGGGCATCTGCCGAGTAAGGTAGGGCCGGGCAGGGTAGGGTATTACATGGTAAGGTAGGGTAGAGTGGTGTAATGGTCAACGGCGCCGGGGACATGCATACGTGGATGAGGACGAGGAGCACAGAGGTCTTCATGGGACACGGCACGACGAGCGCGCCGTTGGATTTAGTAGCGCTTGCGAGGTTCCAACTATGATGCCAGCAAAGAGAGCACACAAGAAGCACAGCACGACAACCAGCCCAGCGTGGCGCGGCAAAATAAAGGAGATAGAAGTAAAGCACACACACACATACACACATACACACACGCGCGCGCGCGTAACGCAGCACACAACCCACCTGGTCCAAACCCCCAGCCAAAGAGATCTCCTGCCCCATCTCCTCCTCAGGCACCGCCCGGCCCTGAGCCACCGCCACCGCCACTGTCGTCGGCTGCTGCGGCGATTGGGCGAATTCGCCCAACGGCGCCAGCTGTACCGCCCTAATGCCCGCGGCCGCGGCGGTGGCCGTTGCCCCATGGTTCCGCAAACTCGGAAAAACGAACTCGCCGCCAGCGCCGGCTGCTGCGCCTCCGAAACCAGGTCGGCTGATGCCGCTACGACCGGCGCCGCTGGCCCCAGCCTTCTTCCACGGCGACGTCGATACGGCGCTACCTGCGCTGCCGCTCGACAGCCCCGACCGACAAACGCTTCCACTGGCGGTGCTGTAGCAGCGCAGCTGTACGGGAGAGATGACGGCGGCGGCGGCGTTGAGGACGGTTGTTGTTGTCGTGCCAGGACAGAGCGCCAGAGAGGATAATGGTGAGGGCGACGGCCCGCGCTGGGAGACAGCGGAACCCGGCCCGCTGCCGACCGGGGAGGCAGGAGGAGCGGGGGAGGAGCCCCGCGACAGACCGATCGGGGTCCCAACTATAGACGCTCGAAGCTGCTCCGCTCGGTTCACCAGTACCTCCACTGGAAGCGGCCCCGTGACCATTTCGGAAGCGTCGCGTGCGGCGCCGCTGCCGGCCGCTGCGGCTGCGGCTGCCGCGACGCCGTCGCCGTCACCGCCACCGGCGCTATCACCGACAGATTGTTCAGGTTCAGATCCAAGTCCAGGTTCCCCTTTTCCTAATCCACAGGCTTCAGACTCAGAGTGACCAACTGCCGCGGCGATACCACTGCCACGCGATGGCAAAACGATCCCCTCGGTAGCCGACGACGACGGTGCTAGCGCACCAACGGCAGTGCTGGGAGATAGGTCCACGGCTTGCTTCTCTGCATTCGTTTCTCTGAGCGCCGCGGCGCCAGCATCAGGAGGAGTACTGTCATCCTTGGCCCCGCCTAGCAGTGCGGGAACTAGACTTTCTCCAGCTCTCACTGCTGGGCATACGCCGGCACCGCTGCCGCCCCAGCTGCCGCCGCCACAAGCGCTGCTGCCGCCCCAGCTGCCACCCCAGTTGTCGCCGCAGCTGCCGCCACTACCGGCGCTACCACCAGCCCTGCTGCCACTCCTGCCGACGCTGCCGCCGCCGGCACTGCAGACGCCGCTGCCGCCTGCGGCGCTGCCAGTGCTTCCGTAAGAACTAGCGCCGGCGTCCCCAATGCTGATTCCGCCCGCGCTGGCGCCGCCACCGGCATTGCTGCCGGTGCCACCGGCGCTGCCGCCAGCTCCTCCTCCACTGACGCTACTGCAGCTACGGCCAGTGACGCGGTACGAATCGCTTTCACAATAAACCGCCTCGCACTCGCCCGCCAGGTGTTTCATCCTCCATATAAGTCCCTGCAATGCCGTGAGTGGATCCTCCTGCCCACCGTCATGTCCGATGGAGCTCGCCGCTGCTGCCGCCGTTGCCGTCGCCGCCCTGCCTCTCACGTTGCCAGTCTGCTCATCCGGCGCGCTGTGTGCCGCCGCCGCCGCCACCGCCGCCGCCTCAGCAGCAGTACTTGCAGGCTCGGCCTCCGCAACGCATGCCTCAGTCCAAATCATGGGAGAACTGGACGTCGCAGCTTCCGAAAGCCGGGATCCACGGCCTGCAGAAGCCGGGATTTTCACTGTAACAGGCAGCGGCGCCGCGCTGCCGCCGCTGCACTTCCCTTCAGCGGCAGTGACATGGTCCAACGCAGCTCGAGGCTTACTGCATCTTCCGAAGGACACTGCCTCAAAGCGGAGGCCAGGATATCCCGCAGCAGCCCCATGTGCGGCGCCGATGTTGCGGCCGTGCGGCTGCCGCCGACCCGCAGCTCCCGAAGGCGCCGACAGCGTCCATCGCGCCACGCGTAAGCTCCCGTTGCTGCTGGCACTATCGCCGCGGCCGCAGCCCCCGTCGCCGCTCTCCTCGCCGCAGCCGCTGCCCAGGCAGCCCACAGCCGTAACGCCGGCGGCTTTGTACGCTGGCGTTGATGTCAGGCTGGAAAGCGCTCCCACGCAACCAGAATCGCTTGCCGCGTGTCCCGAGGCTGCTGCGGCGGCCGCCGCCAGCGCCTCTGCGGCCGCGACCGCCGAGGGTGAAGCGGGTTTGGAGAGCAGGAGACTCGTGACGAACTGCTGGGAAAGGATTTTGGTGAAGCGGACTCCACGCAACGGGTCGCCGCCCTGCAGTCTGCTCGGGCTCACGAGGGGAAGCGGTGAAGAGGTCGTCGAGAGTGAGCGGATGGGGGCGTGGGAGGGACTCTCCGCGCCATTGGTGGTGTCGGAATCGGTATCAGGATTGGTCGGCTGCGGCTGCAGTGCTGCGTTGTCGCCGCCTGCCGCTGCTGCCCCTGCAGATTGCTGTCGCGGCTGTGGCGGCGATGATTGCAAACCGCCATGGGACGCCACTCCAGACGCTGTTCGGGGTGCGCCTGCACCTGCGCTGCACATGGCCAAGTCAGCCGAGGGGGGCAAGTCACCGGCAGCCGCGCAGCTGGTGCTGCTGCTGCTGCTTTGGCGCCGTGCTTCCGTGGGGCCGGCGCGTAGGGGTGCCGCCCCTGTATCAGACGTCCCACTCGCATTGCGCATTGGGGAGGCGCTGGAGGCGGCGAGCACGGGCTCGGGTGACGGTGACGGCGCTGGCGCCGATTGCGGGGTGCTGTGCTTGAGGTGGTCAGCGGAATTGGCGGCTGCACCGCCGGCCCCTAACGCGGCGCCGCCGCTCTGATTGATGTCCGCGGTCATCTGGATGTCGGCTGCGACGTGCGCTGGACAGCCGGCAGGGCCATTCGCTGCGCAGGTGTGAAGCATGGAAGACGGTGACAGCAGCAAGGCACCGCCAGCGTCGTACGGTAAGGCCAAGTACGATGACGACGATGGCGAGGAGGTGAGGTTGCCGTAACGAAAGGCGCCGACGGCGAGGCCGCCCGGCGCCGCGGCGGCTGCAATCAGAGTGCCAGCACCGCCGCTGGCCGAAGGGACCACGCCGACAGGACTGAGGTGCACACCCATCGCCCCGGTGGCTCCCGCAGCATCCTGCGCTGCATTGGGGCCGGGAGCGGAAAACCGCAACATCTGCGGGCTGTGAGTCAGGACACCCCCTGGACCCACCATCGATGCAGCTGCTGCCGCCGCCGCGGCGACGGCTGCCGCCGGCGAACAGCCGGTGGCGCCGCCGCTGCTGCCTGCCGCGGCGGCGGCGGCGGTTGCAGCAGGGCCCAGCACGAGCATGACCGGACTGCCGGCAGCGCACCCAACAAAGGGGCTGCTAGTATCCGTACTTCGCGACAGGGAAACACGTTGGCTAGCGTGCACATCTCCCCCACCGCTCACGTCGCTGCCAAAACCCGCCGAGCCGCCAGTCATCACAAGCGGCCGGCCGGTCCTCACAGCCAGCCCGCTAGCGCCGCCGCCACCCATGGCGGACAGCCTTTCGATGGTCCTTCGAGCGAGACCATCCACACCGCTTCCGCCGCCGCCGCTGGTGGCGGTGGATCCTGGGGGTCCATGTGGGAGGCCTCTGGTGGCAGCCGCCGCCGGTGACGCCGCCGGCCCTGTCCGCGGCGCGGCGGTATCCCGGGGAGGCGACGGATGCAGGCTGGACTGGCGGATGCTGCCATGGGCATACACGTCAGGGGAATGCGCCCGCGGCGACTCCCACAGATCCAAGCAGCCCGACGGCGCCGACTGCCGCCACTGCTGCTGCTGTGCCGCGTGGGCGCCATGGGGGTCCTCGTGGCCCCCGCAGCTGCCGCCACCGCAGCCGCTGCCACCTCCCGCGGCGCTGGTGCGTCGGCGCCGGCTGCCGCTGCCGCCGTCAGGGCCCAAACCTGCCGCCGGCCCGCCCAATCCCGTCCGTGAGCCCCGTCTCAAAGTGCCGAAGAGCTGCTGGCAGTGCTGAAAGGAATGAGCAGACTGGGACAAGGACAATTTCTGGCGGGCGCGTGGCCTCAGCCGTGGCTCCGTCCCGTCAGCGACCGGATGGATCACCGGGGCGGTCACCCTCCGGACGGGTGCGGGGCGGTGCAGCTTGAGCGCCGCTGTGGCATTCTTGATGGCGTCGGCCACAGAACCCACCTTGCATTTGCGGTTAATAAAGTTAACACAGTTTTACACCGTTAGTTAACATGGTTGACATGGTTTTTGACACGGCTTACACGCGTCGGGGGACGAGGGATGGTTTTGGGTTTGGGATGGTGGCATGCAATGCATACACTGTGATCAAGGTGTGGCGCCCCTACAGATGCTAGTGGGAATGCAAGCCGTCGATTGAAAGGATGTGAGGAGGAGGTAGAAATGCAAGCAAGGACCCTGACACGTCGCTCTGCCTCCCGCGCCTTGCACTGCTTCCCTCCCTTCGTCCCACCCTTCTTCCGTCCCGCCCCACGCTTCTGTCCACCACCACCATCATCACCACCCGCGCTTCCATGGCCAGCCGCCAGCCACTTACCACGGGGTCATCGTAGCCACCTGCGCCCGCGGCAGCGTACCGCCCTCGCATCCGGCTGTTGCGCGCTGCCGCTGCTGCCGCCGCCAGCGGCGGTGGCGCCACAGCCGCGGCGGTCGCCCTGGACTTTCCCCCCAGCATGCCGTCACCGGTGCCACTGCCTACCGCCGCTGCCGCCGCAGCCGCTGGGCCCTCAGCGTCCTTAGCGGCGTCCCTGCAATGCCAAGGCCGGTTGCCACGAAGCGCTTTCAGGAGGTCCGCGTGGGTTAGAGACATCGAAGCTGATAGGGGCCGTACAGGGGCAGCAGCAGCAGCGGCGGTCCTGGCGCCGCCGCCACTTCGGCTGTTGCGATTCACACCAGAGCCGCCAGGCTGGGATCGCAAAGCGGCGGCAAACGACGCGTGAGGTGGGCGATCCTTGCGTCCCTCCGGAGCTCGCAGCGGGTTACTAGACCCCGCCGCTGAAGCCACGGCCGACCCGGCGCATTCAGCGTCAGCACCGACGTCAGCGTCGGAAGTGCACTTGGCGGGCCGTGCTGCTGCGGCGGGCCCGGCTGCGTCGCGTTGCGGGCACGGGACTGCTGCCGCCGCCGCCGCTGCTGCTGCTGCTGCGGCAGCGGCGGCCACTGCTGCCGCTGAGAGCCTTGGTGGTGGTGGCGTCCTTGCCCTGCGCTGTCGCTGCTGCGCGCTTGGACCGGGGATGGGAACGTAGGAGGGCCGCGAGCGGGCCAGCTTGGCCAGTCTGTGGACACACCCCCATCGACGAGCCATGTGGGGACCAGGGCAGGTTTGTGAAAGGCAAGATTCTTAGAGAAACAAGCAAACCTTGCAACATTGCGTCACCAGAGCCCAACATAAAATTTTTATGCTGAAATGCATAGGCATGAAGGTTTTATATAACTGCGTTTTAGAGCCCAGCGGGATTGAAGTGAAGGGCTTTCTTCAACAAAGGGCTTCCCTTGTAACCAACCGAAAATGTCCAAACGCACCGAGTTTTCTACATCCATGCATGCATGCGTTGCGCACTGCGCACCTGCGCGATCGCTCCCCAATGACCGGTTTGAAGGTCAGGTGCTCCTCCGCATACGCGCGCTCCTCCGCCTCCCGTTCCTCCCGTAGCGCAGCCAGTCGAAGCTCCCTCCGCTCCGCCCAGCGCTGCAGGTCCATGACACTGCGCTGCAGCTGCGGGACAGCACTGGAGGAGCCACGTAGCCGCCGGTCTGCCGTGGGAAGAGAGAGACCGTGGGAAGGACCACGGAGAAAACGGTTAGTGGGAATTAGCGGGGTAGGGGAATCATATAAGAATTAGCGGGGAGTCATATAAGGATTAGCGGGGAGTCAAATAAGGATTAGCGGGGAATCATGTAAGGATTAGCGGGGTATGGGAGAATTACATAAGAATGCTTCAAAAACAAAGGGCCTACTGCAGATCATTAACGTCCAAAGCTGCAAAATGCTCGTGTTCAATGTGACCAGGTAGCTGCCGGTTAGCTCCAGAAAGGGTAGGGAAAGCGGATAAGGGGGACGGCTCTCACTGTTACTTGCTAGACTTTTTGTAGAGACCGACGCGTGGGTTGCAACAAGCTCCTTTGTTCTCATGCACGTACCTGTTGGCTCGACGGCTCCTTCGCCACCTGCCACCCAGGAAGCACGTCGGTGCCGTACCTACATACACACATATATACATACATACACCAGACCAGGAGAACACAGCACGTCACGGCACAGCGTAGCACGATGGCGGTGCTCACACCGTGTACGATGATCCAAAGAGGTCGCACAACAACAAAAGCAATATAACATTGTCAGACACAGTGCGTGCTATGCCCATGGCACGGAAAACAGGTCAGGTTCCAGAACGGACACACACACACACACGAAAGCCACACACATGCGCGCACACAAATCAAGACATCCTTCGCAAAGTCACACGCAGGACGCTGCCGCCCTACCCCGAGGCTCCTTCCCCCCGGAAAGGATGGAAAGGAATGAATGGAAACCCGAAAAAGGAAGGGGAGCAACGGCCGCTCCCCACCCACCCACCCCCGTGGCGCCCATCAGGTCTGGCCGTGGCCCAGTCACATTTGCCAAAATAGTCCCCCCCACCGTTCATCAGATGGTAAAACCTCTCCCCCTCGTTTAACGGTTCCTCTTCCCCATCAGAGAAGACCTCTCTCACCATACCTGCGGCTGGTGCTGTCGCGGACTGTTTGGAACGTCATCAGGCTCCCGTGATCCCCCCTGCTCGGAATTGGGAAGGGAAACAAGAAGCAAAAAGGATCAAATGCCGATGCTTGATGCAGCAAGCTGCCGGAAAAAGGAAGGCAGCAGCAGCAGCAGCACGATCAACAGCCGGGGAATGCACATCGCCATGATCGTCCCGCCCCGTCTTCCTATGCACGCACATGAGGCCCGCCCGGGTCCCCACAAGACCAGGTGCTGGATTGGAAAGAAGGTAATGAAAGATCACTCTGCATGTCCCCCTGTTCTCTACTCTTTCTTCACTCTTTTCCGCCTCGCCGCCTCGTCTCCCACAAGTACCCAACCAGCGCAAGCCCGGGCCTCCCTTCGCCGCGCACGCCAGGCCCAGGCCCAAGGCCCCACACCTTCCCCTGGCCCTCACTTCCAGGCCCCCGGACATACGGATACGCTCACGCACCTTGTCCCTCGCAGCGGCCGCGGCAGCCCAGGCCTGCCGCTTCTTCTGCAAGACCGCGTTGCGACGCAAAAACTCCGGGCCAGGCAGCATCGTCGCGCCGGCTCCGCTACCTGCATCACCACCGCCGCCGCCTGCGCCTCCACCGACGCGCTGCATGGCGGAACTGCCCACCGCTGTCTCCTGTAGCATTAACAGCCGCTCGTAGCGGCTGCTCCGCGCCGAGCCGTTGCGACCACCGCAGCCGGGACTGTGCACCGAGTCTCTGCCGCTGCTGGCGTAGCCGCAGCCTACACGGGGGCTGGACGCCAGGCCGTGGCCATCCCTGGCGCTGCCGCTAAAAGGCGCTGCGAAGGCGGGTACGCCAAAGAAGACGTGACCGTGGCCATGGCTAGGGCCGGCCCCAAAGCCTCCGCCCCCGCATGGCGCAGCCGTTGCTGCCCCAACCCCAGCCCCAGCCGGCGGGCTGCTACTGCCGCTTCCGCTGCCGCCCGCTTTGAAGCCCTCCCTGGAAGGGCGGTAAACGCGCGCCTCCGGTCGCAGGAAGGCAGCCAAGGCGCTGCAGGCAAGGGGCAATGCAGCAGCCGAACACCAGTAGGCTCGGTAATGAGGATCGCATAAAAAACAAAAAAAACATTATAAAAAACGGAGAATAGATGGTGATAGGGAGTAGCGGGGAGGCAGCCGAAAGCTCGACAGGGAGGCACAACACCTGTGAAAAAAGGTCACGTCGTCGGGCCAATGCCAAAACATTCATTTGGGCCACCACCGAGGGGCTCATTACCCATACCTGGCGCGCGCCACGGCAAGTGCCTGCGCAAGGGCAGCTTCCGCGTCCTCCGAAGCCGTCCTGTCGTCGCCGCCGCCGCCGTCCCTGCCAACGCCGCTTCCATCCCGCGGCGGCAAGTCCCCAACGCCGCCACAAGGCCTATACGGCATCTGGTCCCCGGCCCCGCTGCGTCGTGCAGCGCATAGTGTCCCTGACGTACCAGCACCCCCGCCGCCGTCACAGCTCTGCGGCGCAACCACGCGGCGCCGTCCGCAAAACTCCAGCCCGCCCGCCTGACACGGCTGCGACCTCAGGTGCAGGTCCAGGTCATGCGGCGATGACGGTGCATCCAGCACTGGCATGGAGGTCGACGGCGCCGCGACCGCCGCCAGATTGGACAGAATAGCCGAAAGCTCCTCCGCTGCCTGGCTACGCGGTTGAGCGGCGGCCGTTAAGACGTGCGATTGCGGCAGCGGATCCGAAGCGTCCTTGCCAGTAGGCTTTCCCCCGGCGGCGATGCCTTTCGGCAACTGCAGAGGCGGCGGCGGCGCGGCGTTGAACTGCAGTTGAGCTGACTGCGGCGCCATCGGGAAATAAGCTGCAGGATGCATGCCAACGCCACCGTCGACATCCCCGTTATTCAGACTTCGGGTGGGCGAGCACCGCGGTGATGACGACGGCGAGCGGGATGGCCGCGCCTGCACGGGTTGCGCAGGCAAAGGTGGGGGCGGCGGCAGTGGCGGCGCGTAGGACAGACCCTCACGGCAAGCCCCACCGCCACCTCCGTCGCTGTATCCTCCTCTGCTTCCGTCGCTGCCTCCGCCGCTGCTGATCCGCACACCCCCGCCGCTGCTTCGACGTGGGGCAACTCCACCAACAGACGAAGACCAGGAAGGCTGCTGGGAGGGCGGCGCCGTGGGCGGGTGTGGCCTGTAGATCATAGGCTGCTGGAAAACGCTAGTACCGCTACTGCCAAGGTCCACCACGGATGTAGCAACACCAACACCAACAGTACCAGCACTAGCAACGGCAGGAGCGCCACCTGCGGCCGCGCCGGCTGCAGCAGCGCCGTCAGTACTTGCGAATCTCTGGAAGTTGGAGCTTGTTCCAATTGCATTCAGTGATATGGTTGCGTGCGCCTCGGGCTGGGCCTCGCCCATAGGCTGGGGAGCGACCCATGGGTCCATTGGCAAGCGCGGCAGAGGATGTCTATCGAGGTCCGGTACGAGCGACCGCACTGCCCGCGGCGCTCCTGCGCCACCGCTGTCAGACGCGCTACGGCGCTGCTGCAGGGCCGCGATGGCTGCGGCATCCCGGCTGCTGGCCTGCAACTGCTGCAGGGGGGAAAGGAAAAGTGGTCCGGTCAGAGGTCGGTTACTTTCCTTTATTTTATATTCTTTTATCCATTCATTCATCTCATGGCTGCATCATTGAACGGCGCTTTCTAGGTCGGTTTTCAGGAGAGGGGGCCAACAGGGGACGCAAGACAGCACGGGGTCTTCCCTTTTTACGAGAAAAAAGCCCTGCTTCCCTACCCCCCTAGATACCTCGTAATGGGGTAAAAATCGTTATATTTTCCTAGCGGGAGGAACGGGGAGCGGTCAAGGAAAAAGAAAGAAATCTGCGCGCCAGCTGCAGGATGGAGAACAAGACCTGCTTAAAGCCGGCGCTGCCGGCGTTGTTTCCGGGTGGTGAAACAGCGACAACCAAGGACCTGGCAGTTGCCGGGGATATCAAAAGCACATGCGCATTTGGCGTGCACCGCGTTAGCTTCTCTTGTTTGACCTGAGGCTGCATCAAAGTGACCCGAAGCTGGAAGCCATTTGCCAGGCCCCCTCTGACCTTCTTAGGCGAGCTGGTCTGGCCAGAGCAGGGCAGATACCAACTTGTGCGGCACCTTCTTATCATGACTGTGAGCATATGATGCAGGGTAAAGCTCGTCATTGCTGTTGCAGTGAGCGGCGATGAAACGAGGGTCGTTATTGCTGTGGTCCCAGACAACACCCTTCCTTGCTGCAATTACAAACGCGGCTCAACACAGGCCGATCAACTCGCCAACGTTCAGAACACGCACCTGGAATAAGGGTAGCGGCATGGGTCGTTGCGACGGTGGCCGCGGTGCCATTTGTCCGAGCTCCCCATTGGCAGGCAGCCTGCCTTTTTCAGCAACTGCAACCCCCTCTCTGAAGATCATCGACGATGAAGCAGGGTCCTTGGCCCTGCTCTGCTGCACTGCTTGGCCCGCTCCCTGCACCGTCCGCTGTTGTGTTAAAGCAATGCGAACTTCTTAATACATCACGAAGGAGTTGGGGATATTTTAAATTCTTTCCCTCTCTCAGCTCCTTTTTCCCCTCCCGCGTACACAGCATCCACTGGAGATATTGCAAGGAGCGGCAGCTTGGCGGCGCGTACGCTGGAACAGAAGTGCTGGGGCTTCGGTGCTTTCGGGACGCACGGATGTAGGTATGGCAAAACTATGTATGCGTCCGAACAGCACATCCCAGGAGCACACAGCGTAGCGTTTCATCCTTTTCCGTACTCTTGCAGTCAGCGCTTGCTTTCTCTACCCAAACCCCACCCCCCACAGCCTAACACTCCCCCACCCCCCACAGCCTAGCACTGCCGCACCTGTGCGGCCCGTTGCAAGGAGGGCATTGCGTCATTCCCACGGGCTCCACTAGAGCAGCTTGTAGTCCTGGCACGGTTTGCCCCACCAGCATGTGCGGCGCAGTTTGCAGCAGGTCCACGCTGGTGATGTGCCACGTTCAATTTGGCACACGTTGCCGCCTTTGACGGCATGCTGGCTCCAGGTCCGTTGGGCTGCCTGTCCATCGCGATGCCTGCGTCCCTGGCCCAGGAAGAGCTGCCGGCAGTTGATGCGAGCTGTTGAGAGTTGTCCGCATGGCCAACATTGACAATACCACCCCCGTTTGACACTTGGAGGCTGCCCAAAAGAACCTTGAGCTTGTTCGCACGCTGCTGTAGGCTATTGAACAAGGACGGCGAAAGAGCACCTTGCGGTACAGGCTTTTCGGAATGACTGTTGCCTGGACCAGACAGAGCCCCCTCAGGACCCTTAAAGCCTCCCGTTGGATTAACCTTTGCATTAGGAGTTCGCGGGCTTCGCGAAGGTGGAGTACTGCGCGTTGCAGTCATCCAGGATTTGAGTTTTGACTATCCAAGGGAGTTGACTGCAAACACATTTAACGCAAGTATTTAGTGTGAAACGCGTTGTTCATATTAAGATGGAAAATTATGCCACATGAATCTTTTGCGTAACAACAATCATTTCTTTGCAAATTCCCGTACAAATGTTGTCCCTGAGAGTGAAAGTGGTGATCATAGTGCTTCAATTGAGCTGCATGAAGATACTGTATTTTTTGTCCACCGGAAACAAGAGCAAAGCTGCATAATCAAGAAGCGTCATTAACCCGGCGGAAAGAGGATACCCTTGCACCACGATGCGGGCGCAGCTCATGAGGCCCGCGTTAGCTGCGGCCTCAGGGCATAGATTGGTTAGAACCAAGGTCGCATCAGGTTTAGGCGGAGGGTTGTTGTGCCCCTTAGCGCGGCGGCGACCGATGCCGGCCGGTCTCGTTCGCTCCAGTTCGCCTGAGACTGAGGAGGCGCGCTCTCCTTTAGATGCTCCTCAGGTGCGCCAGCGTCATATGCGCCGGGTGTTGTGCATCTGTTCCATTGATGTCTGGCCTTATCTCTGCGTGAGCAGACTCGCCTCAGCTAAGTGTGGCCTGCACATGCAGGAGTGGGAGGCTCCTATGCCAAGTAAACGGCCTGATATCTTCCCAGAGTTCGAGAAACCGCAGCGAGTTTTCCTACCAAAACCGCTGCCTGGCGACCCGGAGATGCCGGACGAGGAGCTAGAAGAGAGCGCCAAGCGGACGACACCTGGAGATCCAGACCCTGAGCAGAAGCCGGGAGAGCCTCCTGAGGAGCCTGAGAAGCCTGCAGAGCCTGGCCAACCAGAGCCGGAGAGGAAGACTGACATCCCGACCGTACCCGAGTAAAAGAGGCAGCAAATCCGCTTTTTGGGGTATCAGCCAGCGTGATTTGCATGGACGCGCCCGGAGATCCATCTGTCCGCCAGAAAAAACTGTCAGCGCATGTTCCAAGGATATGCTGCTCTGTTTACGCTGGCCGGTTACTGTCATGCACTGCCAGCGATTACGATAAGCCTTACCCTGCCGGGCCATACAGGAGCAATACACAGGACCGATAAAACGACGGGTTGCTCACAAGGGAACTACGTTTTGACTCGTTTTGTACTGTGTTGCATCCGGCTACATGTGTCACCCGACGATAAGGGGATCAGGCGGCCGTTCTGCAATTGCGTAGATCGAGAGCCTTAGAAGACCTCAACCTGTGAAGCAACGTGTGATGTAATGCAGGCAAGGGGCTTTTGTGCTGTCTAATTATAGACAAAGGCGCCATCTATGCAGGCGTCGCCGCGTCAGGCGTGCTGCAGGCGGCCTTCCTGAACTGAAGCGTGTCGCCATCCAAGATGTGGAGAGGTTGGGCATCCCTTTGCCATCTGGGTCAGTGTGGATGTGTGACCCTCGCGACGATGCCCGCGAGACGCGAGCCCTTGTCAGCCAGGCCGATGCGGCGCTCCCGGTGCGTCATTGCGACGATTGCTGCTCTCCGCAGACGGACCTTGCATTCAGTCTGCGAAGTCAGCCGCCGCCGTTACCGCTTCCGGTGTGGTGCAAGGTGCTCAATGCTTTATCTCCAGCAGCAGCATTCACCAACTCTCAACGCATGTGAGGGTATAGGAGAATACTTCACGTTTTCCTATCTGACCACCATCCCTTCCGATAAAAAAAGTTGTTAAGGAAGAGGGTTTCGTTTACCACGTTGCAATCGTGTTGGTAACCCAGATCGGGCGCTAGCGGGCTAGCGCAGGTTTCCTGGCAATACAGCGCGTTGGCTGCTGTGCCGCACGTGTGCATGGTTATGGTGTATACTGATTGACTGCGTGAATGTGAACGTTGCGGGGCATACCTGGCATGAATCATGGCCGGGGGAAGGCACACTGACCTGGCTGACCGGAAGAGTTGAAGTCCAGGGAAAACTGATTGCCACGCCTTGGAGTATTGAGAATGATACTGAGAGCAAAGTTTGAATTGTGTTCTCTGTCGGATTGTTAACAGATGCAGTCGAGGAGCATAGGCTAACGGTGACGTCTGCAGACACGGCCTGTAAGAATATAGGCTTGTTAGGAGAGACATTCATGTTGAGATGGAGGCGGCGCGCAATGCACCGTCCATGGATTTGCATTGGCGCCTTAGCACGATTCATACATCACTCCAACGCCGCCGGCCGCCGCACCCGGCCCTCGCAGCTCTCCAAAATAAGGAACGTGTAGTCTGAATACGACACCGTTCCTCTACTTGTAGCCCAGCGCCTTTCAGCCTCCCCTGCAGAATTCTGCTGGGTAACTGGCTGCACCGGGCCGAGGCCTTTTCTGTACCACCTGAACCATGACTGAAAATGAGCCTATGTCTTTAATGTTAGGTAACTTTGCCCTGACACTAAATTTGAGGAAGGATACTCCTCCCCATGTTTCCTCATCCACTTGTGATTGCCATCGGAAGCTAGAGCTGGTTGGCAGGAGGAAACCGAACTGGTGTGGTACGGCGGGCATGCCCTGCTGCCTTCAACTATTCAAAAAAAAGCACTTGCGGAATCATGCCCAAACATTCTCCAGTTATTAGTACCACAGCAAAAGTTCAAGCTTTTTTTGCGCCGCCTCAATTCAAGAGTCATCAAAACTTACAGGCACTACGGGTGCCGGTAAGCAGTGGCCGAGGGATAGGCATCGGAAAATTAGCTGTAATAGTCGTCCCGCTATCCTTAACGTAAGTGAAAATTGTGAATAGGTAAGCCGAAGCTGATTGTAACTTGCTCTATTTGCTGCGACACGACCATGGATTTACGGTTACAAACTTCACGAGCTTGTACGGTCTATACAAAGCATGAAATACTTCGGATTGACAAAAAAGCACTACTTGATATGAGGTGACCGCTATACAGGGAGATTGCTGTTCGAAAAATGTTACCGTTTTCAGTTGCTGTACCGGTCAGCGCAGACGTCGCATCATTCGCAAGACCTAACATACTCCGCAGAACTGTATACTGCAACCCAGGCACTTATCACTTATTCGGATATTATCAAAGTACCCTCATACCGGTAGGAAATATATCCTTACTACATCTAATACCATATTGAACTTGTCCGTTCGCATTACGCCGTAGATCATATGCAACATTACTATCCATGTTAGCATTTTAGAGCCGTAAACCATAAACAAAATTACAAACAACGTCTTGTGGCGAGTGGTTTTCCTGCTTTCGGCATCGGTAGCTCGTTGGACGAGATAGTTCAACGCTCAAGGGAGCAGGTCTTTATCACATTATAGCTTAAAATAATGGCTTCACCGGCAAAGGATAAGAGCTTGCAGGACCAGGTGCGTTGCTCTCGCGGCTGTCCGCCTACCCATCGAAGTACCTCTTCAACCCCACGCTAACCGCAATAACAACTCACAAATCCTTAGTCATGCGATGTTTAAAAATCAAGATCAGCGGCAATTTCTTTCGCAAAGCTCCAGTTTGTCAGCTCTCCCAAACCTTCTCGCTTCTCTGCCCTTCCCCACATTCATTTCCGAAACCTTAGCTCCAACTACTAGACATAAGCAGCTGCGAGTTCCGCAGCGGTGAGGTGCCGGATCCAGGCGGCGGCGATGGCGACGACGGAGCCAAGTCACAGCTTCAACGCACTGAAACGCCTAAGAAGTGTGCCCATCAGTCGTCATCATCCTCCGGCAATACCGTTCGAAAAATGCCCCTCAGTGGAACTCCAACCGCGACTGTTCTCGCCGGCAACTTGTACTCTAACTCCCGAAACGACAAAGACCTCCGGAAAACAGCGAATGATTCCAGCACCAAGAGCTCTGAGCGTAACACCACGCTCGCGTACCTGCCAGGATCAGTTGCGCGTGGCGCACAGCACTTTCCTGCCGCTGAGTGTGCTGCGACGACGACGGCGGCGGCGGCGCCGGCGGCAGCCGTCGCCTCCGTCGGCAGCCCCGAACATGGATGCGGCGCTTGTGCCGATGTGCACATCGCGCCGGCACACAGCGCCCAGGGATTCGCCGCCAAGGGCGGCCAGCTGCGCGCACCTTTAGAGAGCGTGGATGCGGCGGCCATGGCGGAGGAGCTTCAGTAGGTAGGCAGCGTCCTGGGAAGCCACAGACCCTAACGCTGGTTCAGGCGGCAGTAGCGGGGTTGGTTACGGCTTACTGAGCACGAATTTGTTCAATCAGTTGCTACTGCTACTGCTACTGCTGCTACTGCTACTGCTACTGCTACTGCTGCTGCTACTGCTGCTACTGCTGGTACTGCTGCTACAGTACTGCTACTGCTACTGCTACTGCTACTGCTACTGCTACTGCTACTATGGCTACTGCTGCTGCTCCTGCTGCTGTTGCTCCTCCTGCTGCTACTGTCGTTGCTACTGCTGCTGTTGCTACTGCTGCTGTTGCTACTGCTGCTGTTTCGATGCAGGTAACCGTCAGCTGACAACAGCCGATGCCCGGGATTGCCCGGTGGCGCCCAAGCAGACGTCGGCGCCAATAATACAGTGGTTTGTGGCAGGCAGGAGGGAGCTCTGGAGACGGCGATGACACCGTTGGCTGCTGAGCTGTGTAGAGTGTCCAAAAGATCCTGAGCATAGGCAGCTTTGGGCAGCGTCATGCCGCTGTCGCGAAGGGATGGAAGCTGGAACGTTGTCGAAGGGAGAAAATCTGAGGCGGCACCGGGAGAGCGCGCGAGTTCATTCGTTTAAGGATGGAATGAGTCAACAACTATTGGCGGCAGCAGCAGACTGCTTGCTTGACTGACGCTGCAGACACAGCTAGGAAACGACGTAGCATACCAAGCTGCGCGACGCAAAACCCGGTTAATTAGAAGAGAATACCATCGACTTGCATCACTTTGCACGTTAACAGTAGCGAGGAAATTGGATAAGTAGCCAAGCAGTCGATAGAGCGTGTAAGTGCCAGTATGCATGGCCTTGTGACCTTATGGCCATCTAAACCTGCACGTCATTTCTCCTACTGTGCTTTAAGTTATGCATTTAAAATGGGCGATGCTGCCCGAATATGTCTCCAGCACACTTCGTCGTAAACTGAACAGTCGTAAATTGAGCAGCTTAATGAGCCCCGAGGACCTCAAGGTGCACTCCCGAATCGGCAAAGTCGTTCGTGCTGTACACTGCTGTTACATACACTGCAAAATGATAAATCACCATCCGATGTCTCAATTAAGCTGCCTCAATTATCACACGCACGCTCGAGCTCGGAAGGGAATGCAGACTGCATGTAAATAATGGGTGTGGTGTCAGAGGCGGAGGCTTTGCCGCAAGGGCTGGGGATTCCGGGCAGTAACCCGGAGAGCGAGGTGGCGCGCGGATTGCAGGGGAGGGGGAGACGCGTGATGGCGTCTTGGTTGGTTAGTTGGTTGGCTGGTCGGTCATTTAGTTGGTTTGTTTATCGGTTGGTTCATCAATTAGGCTTCGTAAAGAGATGCAACCGGAAACTGATGGAGAGGCCCCTTGTACGTATCGGATCTTTTTACAAACTCTCCTTTCACGACTTTTGTAGCAGCAGGAAGGTAGCAGCAGAAGTACGAAATGGTAAATGAGTGTGTGCTAAATCGGTGTGGGGAGGGAGGATTGACGAAAGACGGTCGACGAAGGATGGTCGAGGCTTCGTGGCGCACGAATTCCGTAACAATTACTTCGAAAACTCGTAACAATAGAGTAGTATCAACTGGGAGGGGTACAACCCAGCTTTGCATTCTTTGACGGCAAGACTCTCACTTAATATGCCTAGTTTTCGTTAAATATGATATGTAATTGAAATGACTAATTTATCAACATTACACCTAGTCAAAGCCTCAATCTTGGTACTTTCGATTTAGGGTGCATTTCCAATGCGGATTAAGGCCAGGGATTAGGGCACGGAAGTCCTTGGTACGAGCTTACCACATAGTTTTGTTCCATAAGGGAACCAAAGGTTGAAAAGGCGAGGTAAGTTTGCCAACAACTTAGCCGTTTGAGCAGGTATCGATGGAGGACAGAGGGTTAATCCCTGGCCAAAATCCGCACTGGAAATGCAGCCTTATTCGAGCAAGCCATTGTCTGCTGTAATTTCACATGGCGAGTAGACCCGACATTAAACCGGACTATTGTAGCAGGGATGAATGCGGTAAGCTACGAAGAAAATAACTGCATGCTCTCAAAATAACTGCAGAGCCTTTGCGTGAAGAACTGCATGCTCCCGCAGGGCACTTATTCTCGCAGCTCTGGGTTCCTTCTCTATCTCGCACAATGTGCATGTGGAAATAGGAGGATTCATTCGTGCATGTTTTTCTGCTTTTTAAGTGCGCAATGCGGACATGGTTGTTGTAGTGAATAGGGCGGTTGTGGTGTCGCGTGTTAAGTGGAAAGCGGAATTCCTGAACCTAGGTTTCTTACGGAAAGCGCTCCTAAGGACTGGGGTTATAGGTCAAGCAGCCAAGTTTTGAGACTACCAACCTTTTAGAGTGCAGACGGCGGCTTGCTGGATGACCGTACGGTTGCGTACGCTGAATAAGGCATAACCGTAACAAGCCCCTTACCAGTTACGCGCCAGTTTTCCAATATAGAACTCGTTCAGACAAGTAAAACAATGATAGCTGTCATTTCGGCACCTTTTTCGTGCGCTGATTTGCCTCTTTGCGAAATCTGTCCTGGCTGCGCGGAGCGCTGTCGGTCCAAACAACGACATAGGAGTCGGGACCATGCGCATGATTTGAATATCATAAATTAGATTAATTTGTCTGAGAGTTATATATATCCACTTCTTTGGCTAGGCGACTGAGGGGAACCGCATAAGAGCCTTTTCCAAGGACGCTCGACATCCGCAAACCTAATAGGACAATGCTCCATCATATGTTACCAATCTCGCAGGAGAGATTTGTGCACGAAAAGGTGCGTGTACATCAAGGCAGCTTGCGGCTGGCTATCTACCCTTGCAGGTATCCCTTCAACCCCTTACGGCCGACGAAGGCTTGACAGCGGAACAATCTTGATAATAATTAACAATAATAACGAGCATATAAACATAAATGCTACATGGATTATTAACCTTGCCATGGTGCGAAGGCCTCGCATTTAACTCCCAAATTACCGTTGCGCCTTGGTTAGGAAACGTTAAAAGCCATGATCTGACCCATACGTCGAATGATGAGCCGCTGTTCCCACCTGTTCGCTGGTTCCAACCACTCCCTTTTTTCCCGCATTCATATTTATATCTTACAGCCGCCTATTCTGCTGGAAGTGATCAGTAAGCCTCTGCGCAGCGGAGGCGTGCGAGGCCGGCTTCCCAGCCTTAACAGCGGAAGTGTGATTCCCTTGGCGGCGACTTCCAGCAGAGGTGCCGGCAACACGAAGGCTGGACAGCAGCCGGCGGAGCTCAGTTCTAGCCGGACACCGCTGGCCGCCTCAGATCCCTTTGGGAAGGGACTGCTGGCTTTAGCCCCGCTGCCGTCTCCACCTCCGCTGCCTCCAGCTCCGTTGCCTCCACCTCCGTTGCCTCCACCTCCGTTGCCTCCATCTTCTTCTCTACCAGCGACCAATTTAAATAACCTGGAAAAGTCGAACGCGGGCCATGCTGATCAGGAAGCGTCATCGGGGGGTGGCATGAGCGACAAGGCCGTAACCGCCACCGTAGCAGAAACAGCAGAAGCAGCAGAAGCTGCAGCGTCGGTGGTGGAGGCGGCGGCGGCTGTCGCAGCCACAGCCGCCGGCGGCGACTCCAGTTCCGACGCGCTGCCGCATATTGCCGATCATAACGGGGTTAGCGACGGCAGCGGGGTTGGCGGGGACCCCAGTAGCATGCCCCGGGCTAGGAGCTTTACCCGGGGGGTCTTTGCCACGTGGAACAGCCTTGATTCGGCACTGCTGGCTGTAGCGATACCCGAGATGAGAAGTATTCCAGCACCACCGCTACTGCCACCGTTGCACACGCAGCCGCTGCGACTGCCACTACAGCCGCTGGCGCAGCTGCAGGCGCTACAGCGGCCCACAATAGCGGTGACGGCAGCGGCTGTGTCCAGCACTAGGCCGGGGATGGCGGCGCTGCCGCCAGATGGCGGCGGGGACGGTAGCACGATGAAATCCTTGGGGCCCGGAGCCTTGGCAGGAGGGGCAAGGGAGGCCCCCCTGGAGGAGAGCCCCATGGCGTCGGCACCGGCTTCGACGGCTCCGACGGGCTCTTCTTCTGGTGGGGTGTGTGTGTATGTGTACATGTGTATGTGGTGGTTACAGTGGGCTCCGGACTCGTGAAGAGTGGGGGGGTTGTTAGCCGTGTTGCCCCTGAGCCTGGGCTGCATCCGAAATCCAACGGCAACTACCTTCGTTCCTTTCCCTAAATGCATATGAAGCTTATAACGTTGCAGCTTCAAAAAAGGGTAAAGGCGCAAACGCTGCAACACAAACACACAAACACATTTTAAAGCGACATTAAGGAAGTATGAAGACATTATGCAATGCCGCATCCACTTGGCATGTGTGTGTGCGTTACATGGTTGGGGGTGCGTGACCCCATACTTGTAAAACTTGGCATGTGACGATGTGGCAGCTTCCCACCTGCGTACCGCCGTACGGCATGTCCCCTGTTTGGTTTTTGTGCCGTACCAGTCGTACCAACCTTACCTCTCTCATGTAACACATTTTGAGAGGCGCCCATATCCGACGTCCACATCCTGCCGTTTATTGATGCGCCAATCATATATATATATATGATATATATATATATATGATATGATATATATATATATATATATATATATATATATATATGATATATATATATATCATATGATATGATGTGTTAATGCTGAATGGTAGAATGATCCATAGGCGAGCCGAACAAAAAGCCGCAGTACCAATACTGCTCCTGACAAGGCTGCCATGTTGCACCACGCCACGCTACGGCATGCGGCAGGGTCACCTGGGGACGGCAGCAGTGGCAGTACCACCACGGCGGCGGCGGCGGCGGCGGCGGCGACATCGACGAGAGACAGCATACCTAGCACCAAGGCTGCCGACCCCGCAGTCTTTACCTTTATCAACGTTCCTGCCCCTGCCCCAGCTCCCGCTTCCACCGTTTCCACCGCTTCCTCTCTTGCCACTGCCGCTGCGGCCGCTGCCACCGCGGCTGCTGCAGCCAGCCTACCTATCCGTCTCAGCCTACAAAGCCGACTCAGTGGCTATCCGCCCCCGCCGTCGCTACTGCCGCCGCCGCCCCTGACGCCGCTGACGCCGCTGGCTTCAATGCCGCCGCTACCACCACCCCTGACCCCGCCACAGCTGCCGAAAGAGCTATCTGGCCGACTAAACAGCGGCGGCTTAGTACTCCATACGCCCACCCGTCGCAACCCACGTGGCCAAAACGGCCAGAGCTCTACACGCTTCGCCAGCAACGAACTGCGCAGTCTCGTTAGCCTTCCCGCAGCCGCTGGCGGCTGCGCTGCGCGCGGTGGCTTTCGAGATGCAGTACGCAGCTTTGCTAATGCTGATCTCCGCGGCGGCGGCGGCGGCGGCGGCGGTGCAGGTGCCCGCAGCCTGCGGTGGAATCGGCGAGTAAAGCTGGGTGTCGCCGGAGAAGGCAGCGACACTGACGATAGCGACGAAGGCAGCGGTGGCGAAAGCGACAGCGGCGGCGGAGATGTCAAGTGCAGCAGCCGCAGCGGTAGTGATGCCATAGAGCGGAGCTGGAAAGCCGTACTGAAGCACTCCTGGGAGTACCTCCAATCTGTCGCGACCCGGCCGGGGCCGGGATTTGGTATGCGGGATGGCACCATAAGCCGCGGAGGCGGAGTCATGCGGGGGGTAGGACGGCCGGGTTTGGGCGTCCGCCACACGCTGCCGGCTGAGGGGCCTTGCCGTACTGGCCATCTGCCGCCGCTGGCGGTATCCATCTCCTTGCCCGTTCCCCCCGCCGCCGCCTCCACTGGCGCAGCGGCTGCCTCCGCCGCCGGCCCCGCTGTCGATGCGGCCGCCGCCACACCTGCCGCCGCCGCCGCCGGCGTCGACGGCTGCGTTTCTCCATTTGCGGTCGCTTCCGCTGCTCCCTCCCCAGACGCTGCCAGGGGCCGCAGTTCCGAGCCTGGTTTCGCCGCCTGCGCCTCTTCGGCCTTTGCCAATGCACCTGTCAAATTCCGTGCGACCCCTAAAGACAGTACTTTGGTACATCGGCGTCGACTGGGGATTGACGGCATCGACCTGCCTGTCGTCGGACGGGGTGCAGCCGCCGTCGCAGTTGCCTAATAAACTGAAAGGCCGGTTGCTAAGCAGCGTCGCGGGGCAGTGACCCTTTGGAGTCGTTGAGGCGAGAGAGGGGATGATGGGTGTATGTGAAGCCGATCACGTTTGACTGATGGTTGAAGACGGTTAGTAACTTCAAGTTCTTCCTTTGGATGCGATGGTAAGGAAGCGCATGTGCACTGACCCCAAGGTGCGGTGTTTACATCGGGCTATTTGGTAGATGCCACGGTCGTGAGGTAAAAACATAAACGGGTTTTTGTTGTGCCCGCTGAGCACGGCGTACAAGCAAACCCTCCCTAGCCGGAGGGGGCGAGGTAGGGCCCATCTTCAGCCGCTGGGGCGATGTGCGCGTGTGAGCAGGGTGAGACCTGTGAAAGGGGCTGATGAAGGGGATTTGTTACTGTGCGGGCCAGAAGAGGCACGAACGCCTCGCCCACCATCGCCGACGACTACAGCTCACAATGGTCAACGTTCGGTCATCCGTCAGCGATCGGGAAGTTTCGTACGTGAAACGAAACATACTTTATACAGTTGCATACATATGCTTATGTACATATGCATGTAATGTACGCACACTCCTTTTATGTGGTGTCCACGACGCACATACATACATACACCCACACACAAATGCGCGCTTGCAGTTACTCTCTTTTCCTTCATGTGTGTATACTTGTGTTTTTTTTGCACGTTTCATTCTCAGCCAGCGAATGACCGACGCCTTTTTAATATTAAAAAATTCTCAGTCCGGCACTACATGTATCACATCATCATGAGGGCATCATGAGACGTATCGGGTTGGCATTTTTAATATTGCCTTCTGCGTCAGCTGACAGCTCCCCGTCCTCTCCCGCCAACACTTTCCACGTTGTAATAGCTGGTACTTAGTACGGCACATATATCATCAGCGCAAATCGCACACCAAACCACCTTGTCCAGAAGCCAGTCAAACAGCTCTACATGTGGTGTAGCAATGCCGCTGCTGCGGCTGCTGTGTGCCGTGATTTTAACACGGCGTCAGGGGATTCCGAAAGAGGTGCTGGGCTGTTTATAGCAGCTTCAGAACTAGTTGCGTACATGTGAAGGTGTTAAGAAGCAGCAGTTGCTGCTGCTGCTGCTGGCTGTTGCTGCTGCGGCTGCTGCTGCCGCTGCTGTTGCTGCTGTTGCGTTGGTGGAAGTGCTTCTGTTTCTGCTGATGCCACACTGCCGATGCCCCATAAAATGTGCTAGCGGGGTGGGGGTCGGGGTGAGTGCTCTGAATGCAATAACAAGGAACAAATGTTGCTCAGCTGGCTCTGATGTCCCAGAGTGCGCCAACACCCCGTGTGGTGTGCAATGTGTAGTGCATGTGTAGTGCATGTGTAGTGCATGTGCTTTTATGAACTGAGCCGCGAGTCAGAATTGGCAAAGTCGATAACCTTGGAGGACAGCTACATCGTGTCGGGTGGCACATACACGTGTGCGTGTGTGTATGTATGTATGTACGTACGTGTGCGTCTGTATATGTGTGAAGCTTTACAACGGTATCTGACCGGGCCTGACACTGGCCAGAGGCTGCAGCTCAGCCCCAAGGAAAGACCGCCTAAGAGCTCTCTCTCTCCCGCGGACGGGAGACCCGCGCGAGGGGCCTCTGCCCCCTCCTAAGCAGCCGAGAGCCGCTAGCACCCCTCTCCCTCCCCTGGGGGTGGGAAGCGTCACACGCACGCTCTCACGCGTCAAGGCTTCCCTACGCGAACGCGTGCGTGTGCGCGATGCCATGCCATGCCCCTGTTTGTGTACTATGCCTGGGAGAGAGCTGGGATGGTCGTATAGCTGGACTGGCACTTGCTGTTTGGGTTGGGGCGGGCGTGGTTGGGGCGTGTGGGCGATGCAGCGCAACCAAGCAGTGGTCCTGCGTAGTGTTAGGAGTGTTGTGTGCGCAGTTTAGTCAAATGTGCATGTGTTCAAGAGTGTCAGAACCGCAACGTTTGAATCGGCAACAAAGACTGGACAAGTAGGAGCGACGGGAGGAGACCGTGCGTATGACTCTGCGTGCATGTGCACGTGTGTATATAACGGTTACATGGTTCGCACAACTTAAGGGAGTGTGTGGTAGCTCCAGGCTTCCAGTGGTGCGCCCCCCATCGACCATGTAATAGACGGACGTCCAAAAAGGATTCTGCTTCATACATACTTTAGTACAAGAGCATCAAGCTTTGTTCTCGAGTATGGGTTAGAGGCAGGATGTGGGTCATCTCCCCCGTCAACCTCGCAGCCCAGACCATAAGCAGGGCATAAACGGGCCGTTCGCGCTGTGCGGCTGCTCACATGCAGCCCCCTCGGGTGAGGCCTTTCAAGGTCTGGCGGATATCAGATTTCCCGGCGGGTAGCGCTTTGCTTCGGGGTAGATGGCCTGCTGGTGCGTGTAATCCTGTGGTACATGCAAGCTTGCTCCCGCAGTGTTGGACGTGTCGAGCAGCGCGTACGCTTGGCATTTGATGGATACATCACGCCTTTGGGATGTGCAATTTTGGCGTGTAAAACTTTGGGGTGCATAATAGCGTATTGGTTAACTTGGATATGTGCATGGGATTGGGAAGGGGTCTGTGCGAATGAGTGGTTGGATGGATGTATGGAGTGGTTAGTTAAGGCTGTGTGGTAAAAATCCGGCCTCCTCGTGTATTCTTGCACATGGAGTGCATGTAGGGTTACACGCAGATGGTACTAATAGCCGAATCGAGAAAAACACGTGTTATTGGAATGCCCAGCCTATAATGATATTCGTGCTGAAGTGGGATTCGATCATCAACAGAGCATGTTGGATGCCATGAAATTGGGACCCGCACGTCTTGCGAGGATGTTGGAACGTATGTGGGCTCACCGAAACTCAATTACCCCCTTTGGACGCTAGTCTGGGCTGATGTGCGGTGTTTTCGTTTCCTCCGTGGCTTTTAGGCGTTGTAATATTGCCCTTGGGCCTTCGGCTCGTATGGGTAATCTTACAGGCATGGGGTCACGCACCCCCAACCATGTAACACACACACACACACGCAGGCGAGTCGCCCCTTCGGGTTACCGAAGGGTTCGCCTGAGGCGATATACATGTACGGCAACTTAACACGCACACGCACGTGTAAGAAAAACGTGCGGTAATGAGTCGGGCCCCTAAGATGAAGTTCGTGGGAGTGTTCCTGGGTACGAAGCGCCACGCTGCTTGACCATGCCATGCTAGGTGGGTAACGCAGAGTCTAGCACGTCAAGGGCGATCTAAGCTTCCCAGCCCCTCCCTCCCTCCTTCCCAGCCTCCTCACGACCTCCTTCCTACATACCGCCGGGCCTGGTTTCAGTAATAAAACGAATCGTGTGTGTGTCGTGTGTATTCTTACCCTACAAATGGTACTCTATTAGCCTGCTTAGCTACATAGGCCAGCAAAAGTATTGCAATGAATCAAAGCTGCTCAAATGTGACATCACAGTTGCAGCAGGATGCATTCCACGTTTCCTTAATGCACAAGGAGGAACGACTTCACCCACAACGCATATACGGTATGCTGCAAATGAAAGTATCGCTCATGGCGAATTGCATAGCACTTGTTATGGAGTATAGCCAGCACGGAGAGCACCTAGTGCGAAGGTCGTATGGGCGTGTATGTGTATGTGTTTGAGTGTACACTCAAAGCAGAAATGCAACCTGGTTTACTGGAGGGGAGGCATTCGGTTTGCTGTTTTGGGATTCACCACAGTCAGGGATGTCTTGTGACGGTCCTCCCTAAGGCACTGCGGAAGAGATGAAGTTGTTAGCAACCTGTGACTGACCCCTATTTGATGAGCGAGCACCGCAAATTCCTCTGTTATGTACACATGACATGAGATCACGGGAAAGTTGACATAATGGCAAGCAACGCATAGGCGGTGGGCCTACAACCCGGTTACGGTCCAGATACCATTCCGGCCTTACGTGCCACTAAATCGGATTATAAATCAAAATCGTCGGTTCGACCATATGAGCACGGAGTTGGCTGTTGATCCGCTTGTCCAAGGGTGTCCACACTGTATTGTCCTATTACAAAATCCACCTCAATAATCTATAAGCGGGGACATGTGTTAGACACCTTTATCAATCTGGGAGGCTCTAGGAGGCTACGGAGAAGTCCGTGCTGTCTAATCGCCGTAAAGCAAGTCACCAGACAACGCATATGATTTCCGTCTAACTATTACACTGGTGAAACAGCTTTACATACTACGAGAAAGAAACAATATGAAGTACAGGCGAAGTAACCAAAACAATGTGCAAGTCGCACCATAAGGCCCTGCAAGGGATCTTGTGCTTCCTTTATACTACGGTAAACGCGACCTATGAGTATGCATTCCTGACGTCGCTAAGCAAGAGATCTATTCCTTACTTACAGAGACGTCATGGCCGCCCTCGCTACTCGCGCTTCGGCTCTGCCGACCCTTGCTCAGCGCCCCCGCGTCTCGCGCCGCGCCGTGATTGTGCGCGCCGAGGCTAGGTGCGTATGTTGACATGTGATACCTGCATCTCTTGATGTTTTTGTTGTAGCTTTGGTGATGGACACAGGACTCACAGCAAATCGTAGTTTGCTGTTCCTAAACTCACCTGTGTGCGACTGTTGTTCTGCAGCAACAAGGCCTTCCCCCGTGACTGGATCAAGTCCGATCCCCTCGTCCCCGTCCTGGGCTTTGCGGGGTGAGACAGGGCTGAGTTTGCAAGTTAAACGCCGATGTATTGTATGCCTGGGAAGCAGTCTAGTAATAGATGAAATACATATATTAGGCACCATTTTGCTATGGTAGAACTTATGCTCTTGCGGTCCTTAAGGTGACTCCGCCTGAAGTTATAGCATGTTTTGTCCCTTGCAGCTGGACCATTCCCTCAAACATCGGCGTTTCGGGCTTTGGTGGCCAGTCGCTGTTCGGCCTGTTCACTCAGTCCATTGGCGAGCAGCTGGCGCACTTCCCTACTGGCCCGGCTCTGGATGACAAGTTCTGGTGAGGTTGCCGCGTGTGCTGTGTGCTTTTTGCGGGGGATTCGAATTGTCAATGATTCTCTTTAGCGTTACATGTATGCGCAATAGCTGAGCATGTGAACCCGGTCGGTTCCATTCAGTTCTGATAGCCGGATGTCATGGTTCGACTTGCCATCAAATGGTTTTGGGGCTGAATGAAGAGCTACCATCACGGGACGGCTGCTAGCCATATTTCTGTTAGGATGCCGTAGAAGGATAATTCTTCTTGTTCACCTCTCCGACTGCCTCCTTCCCGTCTATACTTGGCTACCTTCGTACGTCCTCTAAGTTTTAGAGCCGCGAAGACGTCCATGGCCTAGTTGCACATGGCTGCCCTAATAATATGGAGCCCTTCCCGAGATTTATAAGCGGGAAACGGCGGTAGAATCAATCTCGGCTGATCTCCCGAAGCCAATACCTATGCGCTATCGCTCTTGTGCTTCCAATGCATCCTTTCTCATTATGTCAACATGGCCCTCCCCGCGCACTGCAGGCTCTACATGATTACCTGGCACGTGGGTCTGTTCCTGACCATTACCTTGGGCCAGATCGGCGTCCAGGGCCGCAAGCAGGGCTACTGGTAAATGTGCCGAACGCGAGGCGCGGCCACTCAACCGGTGCAGCTGCAGCGACGTGGCAACGTCCTAAGCGTCTGGCGTTGTCGTTGTGTAAAGCAAAGTGCAGACACGGTCCAGACATCCCATCACGGCGGGAGGTCGAGTCGACGGTTTGCCCCAACCCATGACGGGGTGCCTTGCCCAGATTTTGTGACCCAGGATATCGCGATTGGGTCTGGGAAACCGTGGAATAAGCTGTGCGCATGTCCTTGTGGCTTTATGCTTGACGCTGCTGCAGTCGCACTTGTCGTGGGTTGACATCAACAGTGATTTTTGCTTGATTTGGCACACCCCTGGGGTTACCTGACCTGAAAGGCTTGCCCATGCCATTCCGGTGTCGCCTTTCTCGCAAACTCGCTCACACGGGATGCCTGTCTGCTGAGGGTGGGCGACAATTTTGGAAAATGGCTGACGCGATGATGTAACACGCCACAATCTTGGCGCTGCTGTTCCCTGTACCAATACAGATACAACGTTTTTGTAACATATGACAGTCGAGTCAAGCTCTATCAGATATCATGTTAGTTAGATGTTGCAGTCTGATAGCCGCCATGTAATGGCGCAAACAGGTACCGACGGCTAATTTAAGGCACAATCAGTGATGAAATACATGTTGGCCTTTTGTTCAAGTCTAGAGCGTGTCACGTCTTGAGCACATCAGGTAAAGTCCTTGGATAAAACCGATCGCACCGACATGTGCTACAGGGTTTCAAACTGATTCGAGCTCTCTAGCTCAGTAGGAAAAACAACCAACCTCAAAAGACAACCCCCCTCGGAAACAAAACACAGTAGGACGGAAGGGCAGAAACCGTGACGCCATAACGTCACAACGCAAGCATTTTTACAGTTCGAACATCACAGCCTAAACGCTTTGCCACTTTGCAGCACAAGCTTGGCAGGTTGCCAGACACTATGAGAGCGCAACAGCCCCCTACAAGTCCGCACCCTACACATTACCACATAATTAGCGATTCCCTTTCCCTTTCATAATGTAAATTATGATAATTCATGGAAACTTGGTTCAACAAGATTCACAAGAGGATGACCCAGTATTGCTGTTAAGCTGCAGCTCCCCCCAATCCGTTACTTGTCTGCTTGAGTGTCCGATCCTGAGACAGAATAGCGAGTGTTGATGTACCAAGAAATCCGCTGCGGCTGGTTGAAATTATAAATAAATTATGGGAACGCCGAGGCGAAGCGGCATTTGCATTCAAACAGGGCGGCCGCGGTACCGTAAGCCAATGTCGTACACTGTATCAGGCTGCTTCCAGCTCTGTACCTTTTTTCACGCCATAACCCATAGACACGCATGCACATATATACATACATAATTACGGGAATACGCACATGCACATGCACATGCACATGCACATGAACAAATACACAAACGTACTGAAACGTAGCTTGCTTTGCACAGCGAGAGCTTCAGAGCATGCAGGGGGTGCCTGCCTTTCAATGTCTGTCGCTTTGATACAGCCATTATGTAACGTCGCGACAAAGCGCCTAAGTTGTTTTACATCTACATATCATATCACCGGATGCCGGCAGGCAAAATGGCGGTCGACGGCGGATGCTACAATGGCCTCTCAATGCGCCTGATGTGCGGCTGAAGGTGTGACGGGCGGCAGTGTTGAGGCGGCGTGAGGCCGCCGCTGCGGCAGCAGCCGCCCGCCGCCGCCACTAGCCTGCTGCCTTTGCGACTGGGGCTGGGACTGCTGCTGCTGCTGGTGGTGCGGCGGCGGCGGCGACGGTGGCGACGGCGGCTGCGGCGACCCAGACCGCGGTGACCGTTGTGGCGACGGTTGCAGTGACCGTTGTGGCGACGGTTGCAGTGACCGTTGTGGCGACGGTTGCAGTGACCGTTGTGGCGACGGTTGAGGTGGCGATCTCAACGATGGCTTAGAAGGTGACTTATTAAGCGCTTTCTGTCGGCGGAAGACGTAATATGAAATGGGTGAAATCCAGGGCAAACGGGGTTGAGGTCGGGGTCTGCACTCGGCGGATGGCAATATGACGGATGTTATACCATCAAAAGGGAACGAGAACCACCTGATGCGGAAATGTTTCCGAAAAAAAGCCCCTTCCCCCCACACATTACCCGTTCATCCCTGGAGTATCTCTCGTATCGGCTTCAATCGTCTGTGTTTCGTCTTAAACCCCCCTCCTACATCACCTTCCCAACCACTGCACATCTTTCCGCATTGTAATCCATGCCTGGAAATTACTGGGTTGGAGAACCCCATTCAGGAGCGTTCCATTTGATCAATCCCTAACCATGCCGACAACCCTCCCGCCGCTAACCTGCAAGAGAGGATCTCCATCCAGAAACGGCGGCGGCACGGGCTGCCGCCGTCGCAGCGCCTCCGCCGCCATCCGGGGATTGGCGCCGTGCTGCGGTCGTATAACGTACTGTACCGGACTGCCGCCAGAGGAACCGACGGTGCCGCTGGCACTTGGACCGTTCTGCGGCGACAGCAGTACGACAGCAGCGCCGCCACGCCCCAATGCACATGCGCCCACGCCGCGGCCGTGGGGCGCACCGCCGCCGCCGCGGCCCATATTTTGCGTCGGACTTCTAGATGACGTCGGCTCTTCCACCCGTCGCCGGGGGAGCCTCAAGGGGGAGCGTACGGCGGAAGCAGCGACGGCGGCGGGAGCGCCGTCAGGAGCATTAGCAATAGCACCAGCGTGGGACGTTGCCGTTTCGGTTGCAGCAGCGGCAGTAGCAGAAGCGCCGCCGCCGCTAGTCCCAGCGGCCTGCAAGCAGGGCAGGTGGTAACCGACCGCGAGTCCATCAGAATGCTGCTGCTTCTTGGATGGCTGTGACGGCTGTAGCAGCCGTCGTTGGGATGGTGGCGACGGCAGTAGCTGTCTCCCACTGGCAGCATTGGATTGGCCCTTGCTATCGGCAGCAGCAGTAGCAGCCGCGGCCGCGGGCGCGACGGAAGAACACAGTTCAATGTCCTTTGCCGCGTCGGCGGCAGCGATGGCTGCTGCCGCAGCTGCGGCGGCAGCGGACAACGCCGCGACGCCGGCTCCCAGGACATCCTTGACGGCGCGGTTGGTACGGCGCATCAGCAGCGCCGCCGCCTTAGCCTGCGGAGCGAAGGCACATGCGCGGCCATAATCAGTGATACATGGCTTTGAATGCGGCAATGAATGCGGCGATGAATGCGGCGATGAATGCGGTGGACGCAACGGAGGAATGGCAACCGGGTTCGTAACAAGGGGGAAAGGAGAGGGAGGAGCACGTGTAGCTCGAATTGCGTTACACTCTGAGGTGATGGGATGAGGGAACGTCATAGCCGGTACACACACACACACACTCCCTCTTTCTGCCACACAGGCATAACGCCACAACCACAACAGGTAACGGTCAAGAGTTGCTGGCATATTCTCCAGGTGACTCACTTCCAAATGAAAAAAACAAACCAAAGCGCCAAGTATATTATATTAGGATTTCGCTCCCCGACATTAGACAAACAGACAGACAGATAAACAGAGACACCGTAACAGACAGACAGACAGACTGGCTGACCGACTGCGTGACTTACACAACGCATATTTAATACCTTACCTGCCAATAGTCCGGGTTTTCCGCCGCCGGATCGATGTCGTACATGCTCCAGCGCTTGTACCGCGTGAACCCGGCGCCATACGTGGTGTAGTATGACCCCGCCGCGACGGCGGCGGCCTTGGCGGCGGCGGCAGCGTTGGCGGCGGTGGCGGCGGCGGTTACAGGATCAGATGCCGTCGTCGAAATCAGCGCCGAGGACCCGGATGGTTCGGCGACGACGGCGGACAGCCCGGCGGGGGCCGTCGACGCCGGGGGTCGAAAGGACTCCGTAGCGTGGCCAGTGGCAGCGGAGGCGGTTGCAGCGGAGGCGGTCACGCCGCCTTCGCCGCCGGTACGGCGGTGGCCACGCGTGGGAGAGCTAGAGCTCCGTTCCATGTGGGGGAACATCTGTCCGGCAGTCGCCGCCGCCGCTGCCGCCGCCTCCATCGGGCCTGGAAGACCCATCCGCTGCACGGTACGACAAAGTACGGCAATCAGTTATTGACGTAAAACATGAAAGATTACCACATTTCCACTCGACGGACGCCCCGCTGCGGTCATTTCTTACTGCCGAGAACGATATCGAAAGCATCCGACGCATCTAGTTTCCCATGCCAGCGTGCACGAGTACGAACATACACGATATTCCGCACGTGCATGTCTTCTCGTACGGCTCAACACACAGACATACGTGCATACATACACACCTGCATCAAGTACTCGGGGGCGCTGTGCCGTACATCCAGTAGCGCCCTCTGGAAGGCCCGCGTGTTGGGACGCTTGACGGGCGGCAGAGGGGAGATCACAGGGAGCTGCAACCGCGGCGGCAGCGGCGCGGCGGCGGCGGCGGCGGGCGCTGACGCTGCGGAGAAGCACGACGGTTCCTCCGAAACCATCGCCCCGTCTTCACCCTCCTCATCACCCTCCTTCCCGCCGGTCAAGTTGGACGCCTCCTCGAGCGGCAAAAGCACCTGGTCCCCGGGTCATCGCGGGTTGGACAGCACATACATACATACATACATACATACATACATACATACATACATACATACATACATACATACATACATACAAACTTAAATACTTACAGTAATTACATATAGTTCAACAGCATACATACATATGTACCTACATATAAGCCGCACTTTGCTAGAGTCCTGTCTGTCGGTGTTCATTTTCTTTCTTCTCACGCCGTGGCGGGATGTTAGCCCCAGCCGTACATCATCAACACACGCGCGATTCCTGCTGCCGGCGCCTATGTGTGTACTTTACCCTCAGGCACCGGGTGTACATTTTCCCCCCCGCCCCCCGGGCCCCCCAAATGAATGAAAGAAAACACTGTGGTGGATCGGTCCGACGACGACTCGATCACCGGTGCCCATTGCCCACTTAGCTCCACGGCCAGACCGCGGGTAGCGCTGCCTCTACTTACTTAACACAAACAGTGCTCACGGCCCTGGTGTGGTGGCGGGAGGCGACATGCGCGTGTGCGTACGAAGGAGGGAGGGAGGGAGGGACGGGGCAGCAGGGCCACGAGGGTGGCCTGCGCTATGGCGTACAGCGTGCCGTACCTCAGTAAGTTTGAACACCAGGGAGGGGTCCGCTCCAGGGGGAGGGGGCAGCAGAACGGCATCGCCGACGGAGGCACGGTGGCTGCAGCAGGCGCCCTAGGAGGTAGGGGCGCAAGGGGTGTATGTAGGTATGTAGGTATGTACGTATGACTTGGATTACACTGTGGGCTGGTAAAGCCGGGGGCCGAAGCCAAAACACGAAGCGGAAGGGTCGGGGGCACTCATGGCACAAGCCGCGGCTAGTCTTGTGTGCTCCCCACCCCAACTCAGGCTGCTAACACACGACGCAGCCGTTCAGCAGCGCCTCTGTCCGGGGAAGGCGCTGCAGCGAAAATACGGCGGTCTCTCAAGTCCCGCCTGAACAACTCCACAAGAGGTAAGTATGTATGTTGGGGGGAAAGACGAACCACGAAACGAGTGAAGCTGCTGCCAGGGCAAAAGAGTGTACCAGACGTAGAACTGACCAAAAGGTGTTCTTGAAGTGCGGCGACCCGCAGGGGGATGGGCTCGGAGAGGAAGGGAGGGGAAGGAGGATAAAGGCTGGGATGGGAAGGGAACACCCAGTGACTCCATAAGGCAAAGTCCGATTGACGATACTTAAAAAAAGACACGTCACTCCACCCTCCGAAACACCTCCACGTCACTCCCTCGCCCCCGGCCCCATCGTCACGCCGGCGCATGCACACCTGCAGCATCGCGACCTCCGGTGAGTGTCGTGGAAAGTACGACACCCCGCTGACCTTCTCGCCGAAACCTGCCGCCACGTCAACGTCGTGCTCATCCTCGCCGCCACCGACGTCTCCGCCGACATTAAAAGCGCCGCTGTCCGGCGCCTGACCGGGCCTGTCATCACCTCCTCCTACCCTTCCTCCTTCGCCGCCGCTGACGCTGCCGCCGCCGACGGAGCTCATGGCTCTGGGATCCGCCGCCGACGCCGCCGCCGCCGTCGCAGCCGGATCCCGTCCCGTCAGCACCTCGCCGTCTTCCGTCGCGCGCCGCATCGTCTCGCGGTACTGCTGAAAGAGCTGCTGGAGTCGTACACGGCCGGGGCGCCTGCCGGTGCCGCCAGCGCCGCCCGCCGCCGGATCGTTAGGGTCACCTTGGTGCTTGGGGTCCAACGTCATGGCTGTGGCACAAAAGAAGGAAGGCGCGACAGGAGGGTGAGGCGGGGGGGAATGCGAGTAAGGCGGGTTTTCAGTTTCCGGTTTTCGGTTTTCAGTTTTCTCGGTTCCTTTTCGAGTTTAGGTTTGTCGCTCTGCACGCAGTCATCACCAGCGACATTTCCAGCACACCCCTACCATCACTACCGCAACCACCTCTTGACTCAGACTCTTCATTAATTCTATATGACACAAAAGTAGTTTTACGTAAAAATCAGTTGTCACCAGTTCCTTCTCACCTTGGCCATCGCTTGGTATGGCTTCGGGCTTTTGCTGGCCCGTACAGTGTGACGGTTATGCGGGCAGCGTTACCCGTGAGGTAATCTGTCGGATCCAGCTCCTCTTAACTAACTACCTAACTAACGAACAAACGGATGGACCAACATGTAACTTCATTTTTCAAGCACTCGTTCAGTCGTCATGCGTTACAATAACCGCCACAACGCACAGGGACTCACCAATGGCATTCAGCTCCGCAGCCGCCTGTTCCGATAACCTGTCGTGGACGGCGGAAACCCAACCAACAACCGTTATACAACGGGCGCCCGTTACAGCATGGTTAACATAGCCACATTGCAAGATATTAGAAGGCGCCAAGCCGGGGCTGGGCTGGCTAAGGGTTCGGCAATGGCGCTATTGGCAGCATTTCAGCATTTCGGTTTGAGAGGTTAATTGGTGACAGTTGTCTTGTGGCAACCGTACAACTGCCATCCGACTGTCAGTTGCATGACAGTGCCGTACCCGATCTCAGCAGCCAACGTTCCCCTGTTGTACAACATGTCCACGTAACGGTTGCGTGCCTTCCCGCCCTGCATTACATTTCATTACATGGCAACGCACGGGATGTGCCGTGGGTATGGTGAAATTCGTTGAGCTGATCAGGTTGCGCAGAGGTTTCCTTTGTTTGTATTTTCGTATTTATTAGTCGCTTGCTTGTACAGGCAACAATGACGTACAGGCGATGGATTGTGCGCAGAGCCCAGGTCACTACACAGCTTTGTACAAATAGGACTTTGCTTAACATTACGTAATGCAACTGCAACTGCAAATGGATTCACTACACAGGTATTGCGCTATTGCGTAATGTTCCGAATTGCATGTTTCCGAAATCTACACACTAAATCGTGGAAGGGAGAAAACCCGTACACTGGAGTACGACATCCCCGGGTCAACGGTTCACGTGACATCATTCACTTTTCAACCCGGTCACATGTGGAATGCTTGCTTAAAATCTTTTTGCCCAAGAGCATAGCAGCAGTACCAGTAGCAGCAGCAGCAGCCAGCAGCGTAGATGCACCCGCCATCTTTCCTCCCTCATCACCACCTTGCCGCTGGCCTGGTGGTTATTTTCGGGACGCAGGAGCGGGAAGCACACGCACGCGCACCTTCATCACGTCATCCAGAATCTTGAGCCTCTTCAGTCGAGCGATCATAGCTGCAAATGGCAGGGGACCACCCGAAGGTAGCAAGTAATCGCCAGTCATCACCTCCTTGCCGCTGCCCAGCTCCTGAATCCAGTAAACGGTTTGAATCATTTCAAATTTAAAAACATATAAATGGAAACAGCGACAGATGGCGTCACAAATAAATGTCTAGATTTGAACCATTTGAAAGCTTGATTTGGATTTCAACTCGTTATCAAAATATTGCATTCGTTTCCCGTTTGAGTGTAAAAGGTGTTTTAAAAACCTTTTTTAAAACACCTGTGGCATGCCATGCCAAGCGCCTGAGCTGTCCCTGAAAAAGGTACGGCACGGCTGCCGTACTTTTCCTAGATACATATGTATTTCTAGTCCGTATATTAATTATTTGTCCTTTCATACTTTTCACTAGGCCTACGCAACTATGACCGCGCATGTATGTGCTGCACAAAGCCTCCCACTCTGTAACAATACAATACAATACAATACAAAGTGGAGACGTGATGCCCGCGCGCGTGCAGTGCTCGTCATGCGCGCACGCTTGCTCGCCTTTAGCAAGAACGCGAGGAACTCGGAAAGGCTGACGGCGCCGTCGCGGTTGACGTCGATGGCGCTCACAAGGTTCAGCACGTCATCTTCACTAACTCCCACGCCCGCTGCCTGTCGTACACACATATGCCGTAAAGCGCCGTACCGATGGGTGTGCAGACCGAAGAATATGGGAGGAATACCAAAGCAAGCAAGCACTTAATCAATTCAGCCACTCGTCTCCCCTGCATATGCGCAAGTAAAGTTCAGGACTACACACGACACCCAAAGATACGCATACATACATGCATGCGTACTACTACAACTACTACAACTTCTACGAAAACCCAGTGCCGCGCCGTAGAGTTATTTACCCCAATACACAACCAGCAAGAATCGCGTGTGGTGGTGGTGGTGGCGGTGTGTGTGTGTGTGTGTGTGTGTGTGTGTGTGTGTGTGTGTGTGTGTGTGTGTGTGTGTGTGTGTGTGTGTGTGTGTGTGTGTGAAGGGGGGGAAAACAGTCCCAAAGAGAAACTTCGGCCAACCAATGCTGTATGAAGATTCAGTCCTGCCCGTACGAAGTTGTATTACCCTTCCTCGCCGTACCTGCAGCGCCGCTGCCAGCTCTTTAGTCTCAAGGTAACCGCTGCCGTCGCCGTCCGCGAGCGAAAACCACTTTTCAACCATCTAGACGTTTGTCCGGCGGTTCGTCGCACAAAAAGAAGAGGAAATAGGTTGGTCGGTCGCAAATGCAAATAATTATCATGGGGTGAAAAAAATATTTTTCAGGGGGTCGAAAAAAATAAAAAATTATCATTGAGGACGATACCTGGGTTACCGACGACGCAGATATGGATGCAAGCACTGTGAAGTGAATATTGCAGTGTCCGATTTCGACAAGCTATCGAGAAGGTTGCGGCTCAAGTGTTACGGTACGACAAACGGAGTGTCGTACCTTGGTAACGCTAGGTGCCAACCGTCGCCGCGGCGGCATTTGTCGGTGCGTCCGGGCCCACCCCTCGGCCTGGCGTTGGAACAACAGCTCCGTTGCCTTGGACTGCCAGCAGTTAGGAGTTGCGCGACAGTTGACAGTTAGCGGTTATATTCTGAAAAGCCTCGTTAGTTATTATTCCTGAGCAACACTTGCGGGTGCCGAGCCACCCAGGTACAGAAGGCGAGGAGAAACGCCGTACACAAATCTCCCATAACCCCGCCAATTCCGGTAGCATAAACAATCCAGGATCGTACCGAAGATTGGATTTAGGCTTAAGATTAAAAACCCTTAAAAATTGGGCCTAATATTATATAAGAAAAATTAAAAATGCTAGTACGACACACGCCATGCCGCTGATGCCCCGAGGATAAGGCCTCCCAGGGCCCCACAGAAGTCCCATGCCGCAACCAAGTGGGTACACGGTCAGCTGCCGTACAGGTAAAACCCTTGTCGTACGCCCGTACCCTTTCAGCAGCTGTCCGCGGCCCCGACACGCCGGCCCGCCGCCGTGAGGTGTCCTCCCCGTCACTGACGGTGGCGGTGACGGCGGCCCCCCCGGCCACCGCCTTCGCTGCCGCCTCCCTCGCCGCCCGCCTCTTCTCCTTCTCCAGTGCTGCTCGCCTGCACGAGCGATATACATACATGGCAGACGTGTGTGTAAGCCGGATGCGGTGTTTCCTCGGTATTTTCTCTTCCCCATTCTTCAAAAAGCGCTTCCCTCCCCGCCGCTGTGACGTGTATTTTTCGTATATCCTCAACAGGCAACCCCGCGGCAAGGTTACGTCGATGAGAAAAGCACCTTGGGGTGGGCTTTTTTTCGGTATTTAGCAATTTAAAGAAAGCTTACATTCATTTTTTTGCGCTTCAACACACGGGCCTTTACCGCCCACACACACGTCCCCCCCGTTCCAGCCAGGCCGCACACTACCTGCGCGCCTTCTCGACCACCTTTGCAAGGTCCGGATCCTCCGAGGCCGTCGGTGCGACCATCGACGGCACGATGAGGACCGGATGTACCGCTGCTGTACGGCGCCCCAGCCGTGGAGAAGATAGCGTCGGCGTCGACTTGGAAGCCCGCGGCGATGCCATCGCTGACGGGTTGCTGCTACTGCTCTTCGGTTCGTCTGCTGCTGCTGCTGCGCCGCCGCCGGCGCTCCTGGCCCTCCTCGTATTGGTATGCGGGCGGCTCTTGGCCGCCCGCGGCGACGCCGGCAGTGACCTAGCGTGACGTAGCAGTGACCGCGCCGAGCTGCCGCCGCCGCTACCGCCGTCAGTCGGCTGCAGAAGCTGCAGCCAACGGCTCTCCAGAAGCTTATCCAACTCCGACAAGCTCGCCGTGCTATGTACGGCGCGTGCTGTACCCCACGATGACTCAGCGTCGAGCTTCTGCCGTAGTCCGGGAACGCGTGGCGGCGGCGGCGGCGACGGCCTTGCGCTGGGAGCGCTCTGTGACCGCAAGCCCGCGGGTCGGCTCGCCGCACGCGGGGTCCCGTGGTTGCCACTGGCACCGACGACGGCGGCGGCGGCGGCGGCGGCGGTGCCATCCGCTGCCGCCGCTTCGGAGCCTTGGTTAGGTATCCGCCGTCGCGCCGGTGCCGCCGCCGCCGCCGCTGCCGCCACCGCTGCATTGCTTCCAACAGAGACCTCCGGCTTCAGTCGCGGTGACGATCCGCTGCCACCGGCGCCGGTGCCGTACGACCGTTGCTGCTGCAGCACCGCCAGCGGCGCCGCGTCTAGCGGAGGCCCTTGCATGGCTTGATGGTAATTCTGGTACTGACGATGCATGCGATGGAGGCTGATGCGCAGCCGACGTGAGGACGACCATAATGCCGACGATGTCGACGGAGGCGGTGGCTGTGTGCGCGCCGGCGTGCCATTTGCCAACGACGACAGCGACGCGGATGACGACGGCCCGCTGTTCACTTTTCCAGTCGACGGTGAAACGCCGGCGGCGGCGCCGGCGGCGGCAGAAGCTGCAGTGGTGACGGAGGCGGTTGAGCGGCTGCGCTTCTGTACGGCCACTGGGCTAGCCGCACCACTTGCACGCCCCCGGCCCTGAATATTCAGGTCCATGCAAACAGCACCCGCGCTGACTTCGATGTTAATCTTAGCCGCCATCGCTCGGTCTGCGCTAGGAAATGTACTGCTTTGTACTGCCAGCGGCGGCGCTTGGCCAGACGCCGACGCCACCACACCTGATCCCACTAACCCCAGTTCGAGCCCCGACCCCGACGACCCGACCCCCCCGCTGACGCTGACCGTGCCGTGCGACGACCACTCCGCCGCCGCTGGCGGCGCAAGCGTACGGCGACCGCCGCCAACGCCGCCGCCGCGGGCGGAGGGGTAGCCGGCTACGAGTCCGACGCTGGTGGCAGCTGGAGCGCTGTGCATGCTGCCGCTAGTGCTCGGGGGGCTGCTGTCATGGCTCCCCGCCCAGCTGGGCCGGGTGATCCTCGCTGCACCGGGCTCAGCAGCAGCAGGGCCCGGACTGGGACCGCGAGGGGGAACAAAGCCGCCTGGTAAGCTGGAGTACGGCAGGATGGCGACGCCGGTGACGCCGTCGCTGAAGCTGCGGAAGACGCCGACGGGCGGGGCGCTGGCGGCTGCGTCGATGATCACCGCGTCGTCATGATTACTAACGGCCAAGGCTAACTTCGCAGCAATATCGGCGTTCATAAGGCCCCGTGTGAACGGATCGCCTGTCGCGGCACGGTCCATCTCGACCGCAGCATTATCAGCCGCCGCTGCTGCTGCGGCGGCAGCGGCGGCGGCGGCGGCAACTGTGTTGCTATCCACGCTGCCGTCAGCAGCAGCCGCTGCAGCTGCAGCTGGTGTGGCCTGGCCGGCATCCACGACTGCATCTACCGCCGCCGCCACGGCCGTACTATCGCCATACACGTCCTCCCCGTCCCTAAGCCCAACGCTGGAGGCCCCAGCGACCTGGCCGCTGCCGCTGCCCTCAGGATCGGTGCCGCCAGCGTCGGTGCCGCCAGCGTCGGTGCCGCCAGCGTCGGTGCCGTCAGCGTCAGTGCCGCCAGCGTCAGTGCCGCCAGCGTCAGTGCCGCCAGCGTCGGTGCCGCCAGCGTTGGTGCCGCCAGCGTCGGTGCCGCCAGCGTCAGTGCCGCCAGCAGCTATTCCATCTACCGTGGGATCCCTTGATGAGCAGTACCTGCTCGACCAGCTCGCGCCGTCGTCCGCGACCTCACCCTCGGTTTCATCGTTGGTGTCGCCGTCGGCCGCAGCTCCCCTGCCGCCGCAGCTACCGACGCTGCCGTTGCAGTCCGCTGCCATGCCATTCATCACATCACCCTCAGCTCCGAAGCGCATTGCCGTACTGCCGCCGTCGCTGCCGCCGTCAGGGTCGCCCCACTCCGGCGGCTGCAGCGACGGTGGCAGGGGCAGGGGGAGTAACGGCAGCAGGTCTAAGGGCCCCGAAGATGCGGCCGCCGGGGTCCAAGGTGACCCAGGAGACATGGTGGGATCACCGGAGGATGATGGACAGTCGGCTTGGGGTGCACCCGGCTGTGGGCCAGAGGAGCCGCGGTTGCGTATCGTGTAGGAGAAAGGCTGCTGCAGCTGCTTGGGGTAGGGGGGTCCATGATGAAGCGCGTGGCGGGAAACTGCGTCCATGGCGGCCGCGGACATGGCTGCGGCGAGGGCGCCGTGAAGGTCGGCTCCTGGCGGAGCGAGAGGGGCCATTGGGGCTGTGACAGGCGCCAGGCCGCTTCGCTAAACCGCCTCCGCCGGCTGAGAGATTAGCAGTAGTACAGTGGTAGTTGTTATAAGCTATTCATGTGTCAAGACGCTGTGAAACGGGTGGTTGGCTGCCAGGTTTGTCTCATCGTCTGGCAGCATGGGACCTCACAGGCCCAACGGCTTATTGCATAACATCCGTTTCTGCAATAATTTCAAACGGACTCTTTCAGGAGCTGGATAAACTCGTTCAATTCGACTATGAAAGTCTCCCTTGAGAAGGATAGACGAAGGCCATCCAAATAAAAGTGGAATCAGATAACCAGATGCTTCAATATATAACCATATTACATGTAAGTGCTTCCTGTGATATCCATAAGAAGCAGCGGTTGAAGCAAAGTTACGGACCTTTTAGACAGTCGAAACCTATGTAAGCGGTTAACATGCATGCGAGCCTTAAAGATTGTACTCATAAATATTGGCATTCCAGCATGGGTGCAACTATGGACTTGCGTTCAGCCAACCGACAGCATACGACGACGATTTGTATCTGCGTTGCACTTAACCTCCACGCTGATTGAGGTTAGCAGGGCTCAGTTTTCTAATAAGTTCCAATTAAATGTACCATTATAATCAAATTACAGCCAAGGATGGAGTCGTTGCCGGCGACGCCTGGAATCCAGCTGGGTTACATCCAAGCGGTCTGCTTTCCACCAATAGGAAAATGCCATAGGAAGGCAACGTACTTTCGATATTCCTGACACGAAACCCATTACCTGACTGCTCGTAGTGCAAGGTTACAAACGAGACTTATAAAAGTTTCTAAACCGCCATCGCCAATCAAAGCCCAGCCCCGCAACACCAAGCAAGCACACGATCGTGACCGGAAAGCCCTAAGAAATGCGCTTGGCACGTGTGTGGAGTGTGGGAGTGGCACGGCCACGCACAAGCACGTCCAAGCTAGGCCACGTCAAACCAAGCTAGGTATGGTTGCCACGTCACGAAAAACGTGTCGCGCCATGACGTGACGAAGCAAGCCCACCCTGGAGCCATTATCCGCCACCTTATCATCGAGGCGGAGCCTCAAGGGGCCTTACGGACCCATCCGGGAGGGGAACGCAATCCCATACATATCCACAAAACCCGGCATGTAAGGTCGCATTCATACCCACATATCACACAGTAACGCCGTGCGAACAGTATTTGAGGAGGGGTGCCGCCGTCCAACGTCGAGAGCCCGACAATTGGCAAGGAGGACGAGGACGAGGGGAGAAGACGAGTGCGTGTGAGTATGTGTACATGCAAACACATGTACCACCATTTACCATTTACACGCAAAGCAACACCCCGTGGGTGCAGTAGGTAAAAAAGTATACTTGCAGCGAAAGATGCCTGGTCACGAATATGTACATATATATAACACCCTCAGCCCGCAACCCTATTAATTCCCCTCTCCGCATTTCATAGATCCCCTGCTCTCGCCCGGCTCTCACTCTTCTCCCCTTCGTACGAGTTTTTCCTATGTAAAGCGTAGTTATTACGCGCACCACACCACACCGCATCGCGAAGCATGCGGAACGCGCACTGTCTCGAGGAGTGCATAACCTCCACATTCAACTCAGCGAGCTACTTGAGGCTTGCACCCCCTTCTCCTCTCCTCACAGACACAGAAAGCATATGACAGCAAGGGTCAGCCCTCCATGACGATGGCCCCGAAGACAAAAAAAACTCAAGGCACAATTTCGACGAACCCCCAGGTGATTAAATCTATAGAAAGAAACACTACAAAACCACCTGCACCAACACCAGCACCTGCACACGATTGCAAAGCCACAACGCTCCGTCTGCAGTGGCAGCATCACTGTGCCGTTTCACACTGTGCCCTTCAAAACTTTTGCTGGACCGTGCCTGTCCGCACGGTCTGACGCCTGCCTCCATATCTACCTGTGCATCGTCACTGTCACGAATACACAGCTACGAAGACATATGTACATACATACATACATACATACATACATACATACATACATACATACATACATACATACATACATACATACATACATACATACATACAGGGAGCCGCTTTTCAAGGCGGTCCTTGAGGTCTCTTTGGGCCTCGTGGCAACGTGGCAGGGCCCCCTGAACCCAGGTCTCGCAGTCGGGAATGCAATATGAACACGACATGTACACAGCTTCATTTAAAACACACATATACACACTTGCATACATACATGCATACATACATGCACAGCTCACACCACCCTCATGACGAAGTGGCGGTAGGCCAGGAAGAGGCTGCCCGCCGTGAACCAGCAGCTGCCGGCCACCCAGATCCACAGAACGGTGACCAGCACGCTGTGGGGACCCGAAAGGGGCCCGCGCTGAAAGAGCCCCGTGCCGAAGAAGAAACACCTGAGCCAGCCAGCCAGCACAACCAGGGCAGAAAACGTAAACAGGCAGACGGGGAGGCAGACGGACAGACAGACGGGCAGACGGGGAGGCAGGCTAGGATGGGAGACAATTAGGTACATATAGTGTAGTGCATTTGCAGGTTATTCATGCATGCATGCAGGCAGCCAGGTGGAAATAAGGTATTTTCACCGACAGGGCAGTCGCCATACCAGGGCGCCATATCAGGGCGCCATATCAGGGCGCCATATCAGGGCGCCATATCAGGGCGCCATATCAGGGCGCCATATCAGGGCGCCATATCAGGGCGCCATATCAGGGCGCCATATCAGGGCGCCATATCAGGGCGCCATATCAGGGCGCCATATCAGGGCGCCATATCAGGGCGCCATATCAGGGCGCCATATCAGGGCGCCATATCAGGGCGCCATATCAGGGCGCCATATCAGGGCGCCATATCAGGGCGCCATATCAGGGCGCCATATCAGGGCGCCATATCAGGGCGCCATATCAGGGCGCCATATCAGGGCGCCATATCAGGGCGCCATATCAGGGCGCCATATCAGGGCGCCATATCAGGGCGCCATATCAGGGCGCCATATCAGGGCGCCATATCAGGGCGCCATATCAGGGCGCCATATCAGGGCGCCATATCAGGGCGCCATATCAGGGCGCCATATCAGGGCGCCATATCAGGGCGCCATATCAGGGCGCCATATCAGGGCGCCATATCAGGGCGCCATATCAGGGCGCCATATCAGGGCGCCATATCAGGGCGCCATATCAGGGCGCCATATCAGGGCGCCATATCAGGGCGCCATATCAGGGCGCCATATCAGGGCGCCATATCAGGGCGCCATATCAGGGCGCCATATCAGGGCGCCATATCAGGGCGCCATATCAGGGCGCCATATCAGGGCGCCATATCAGGGCGCCATATCAGGGCGCCATATCAGGGCGCCATATCAGGGCGCCATATCAGGGCGCCATATCAGGGCGCCATATCAGGGCGCCATATCAGGGCGCCATATCAGGGCGCCATATCAGGGCGCCATATCAGGGCGCCATATCAGGGCGCCATATCAGGGCGCCATATCAGGGCGCCATATCAGGGCGCCATATCAGGGCGCCATATCAGGGCGCCATATCAGGGCGCCATATCAGGGCGCCATATCAGGGCGCCATATCAGGGCGCCATACGATGGAAAGACAGTCTGCCAGGCACTGACAAGAAGGCAGGAAGGCAGCCATGAAAGCATAGGAAAGCAGGCAGGAACGAAGAAATAAGGATAGGTAGATAGAAAGGATCAACAAAGGGAAAAGAAAAGGAAAGCGCCTCTCACCAGGCGCCGACGCCGGCGCTGGCCTCCACACCCGCCGCCGTGCCCGCGTCCAGGTCTGTGAGGGTGTGTCGGAGGGAGAAGCGACCCGAGGAGTTCGTGGCGCCGATACGGTAGGCCTTCAGAGCCTGCAGGGGCTCCCGCAGGAGTTTGGGCCGGTGGAAGCGGGAACCCGGCATCATGACGATGATGATGATGATGATGATGATGATGATGGTGGTGATGGTGGTGATGATGATGATGATGATGATGATGATGATGATGATGATGATGATGATGTGCTGCTGCTGATGATGATGATGTACAAGTCATTACCAGACGACAGTTGTGCCAAATGAGCGCCCAAAGCACCAACTGCCGGAGAAGTCCAAAGCACTGGCGCAACTTATAACGATGTTGTGCATTTGTATGTGTGTATGTATGATGTTGTTACAGGGTGGTATAGATGTGTATGTATGGTATGTATGTGGGGGGCCGGGGGTTGACGTATGGGTAAAGCTAAGGGTGTACGGCGCGAAACGGTCCGAGCAGCAAGCGACGCGGAAATCAACTAGTGGTATGTGGAGAATGTGGAAGCCGGAAATTTGAGAGGGTCACAGGGGGGGGTTGGGGAGGTGCGATAGGGTAATTGACAAGAGGGATAGGAGTACCTAACAAGAGGGATAGGAGTAAGCGATGGTCCACCAACCAGGATACTGCACCTCCCGCCTAAGGTCCCAGGTCCCCCTCTC